TTAAAGATAACTTGATTAAAAGTCAGATTTCACTTCCATTCTGGTTTTTGCTTTTAAACAAATAAGTGTAGATGCAATCTCAAAAGTGAAGAAAGATATATTCTTGCTTTGAAACACTTAGAATATAAACCTAAGGTGACATACAAGTGCAACTATTAATCAGTTAAAAGATGCAAGACAGGAAATACATAACTATTTATTTATTCTATCCTTTAATGCCTCAGTATTTCATGGGTTTCATTTTTAAGGGAACATTTAACAGAAAGAAATAGTGAAAGTGGATAGACGCTTTCTTGAATTTATTTCTTGTCAGGATATATTGTTATTTACTTTTTCACCTGAATTAAATAGTTTCTTCTATATAGCAGCCGTCTTGTCTATGCAAAAAGTGTATCCAGTGTTAAGGATATTAGCATATAAAATTTATTTGAACCACAGAAACTCCCTGCTTCCTGACCCGTTCTCAGTGGATTTATGGTACAGTTTTAACTATAACCCTAAAAATAACAGCCTTGCATCTATTTAAAAAAAAAAAAGTTACCTTCTTGTCTTGGTTTTTTATTCTCCTACACTAAACATAATAGTTCTTTCCAATTTATTGTAACTGAGATTGTCCAAGTGGTTTTGGGTTTGTTACCTGTGCTGTTTTACTCTGGGCTGTAGAAAGGAATAGCCAAGTGGGTGAAGTCTGATGCCATTGTGAAAACTACTGTTACCTCAATCCCAGAACCTCAGACTGACCTTGGGCTGGCTCATCACCCTCCTCGGCAGGAGGAAATTATAATGCTTAGTAAACAGAAACTGACTCCATTTGTACAATGGATGATGGCATATTCTTGTTTTTAATATAGTGTGTTATGACAGTGAAGCTGTATGAAATTGTTTCCCTGGCTGTTTGGTCCCCTTTAACATTTTCCAGTCTTTTCATTAAATGATCACGAAGAAAATGTGCTCCTGACAATTCAGGGCATTTCAAGCATGACTCACTCTTCAGCATCAAGTTTTGATTATTGTCACAGCTACTTAGTTCATCAGTGCCCTCAGTGCCTTTGTAATCATCACTTTCCAGGCCTGGGGGCAGAATCAGACTCTCAGGAAAGGCCCTGGGCTGTAATCCCCTGGTACTAACCAGAATTATCTCAGTAAATTTAACTTAACTTCCTACCATGCAGCTCTATTTTATCCCAAAGCAATGACAACAGTGCCTGTTTGTAATCAACAGAATTAATTAAAGCCAAGTCTGATTTATTTAGAATTTAAACCATTGAGGCAAAGTACAAAACTTACTCATGTATTTAGATGACTTGATGCTTACCTTTCCCTGCATTTGGTTCACTAACGTACAGGCAATAAAAAATAACAACACTTCTTGGTCCCTTATAAGTTGTTACCATGTACGTCAGTAAAAGAGATATTATATCTCATGGAGATGATGTACAATATTGAAGGTGGGATGTTGTAGCAAAGTATCTGTGGGGTTTTTAGTATGGCTCTGTGTCATCACAACTAATCCTATCAAGAAGCAAAAGCCCTTTGATTTGTCAAGCGGCCTAGACTCAAGCTTAGTGAGACGTGCTGTTCAAGTTGCTTAATTATCAAAAGAAATGATTTGTTAAAATTATTAAAGAAAAAGGTAGGGTTTTTTGGAGGAAGAGGAGTCCAATTTTCTGCCTTGGGGGGCCAAGATATATATGTGTACATGTGGGATTGCTATACGTGTACCTGCCAGAATATCTCATGTCTTTTTGTGATCACATGAAATTCAAAGAGCTATTAGAGGTACAAATATATAAACCAAATTAGACAAACGATCTCCTGGGTTTTTTTCCACTGTAGCTGCTTGTCAGTGTAGCATATAGCCTTGCGTTGCACGACTGTCAGTGCAGTCATCTGTCCCTTATAGAGCCCAGTTCTGGCACTCCCATTGCCTTCCTGAAACCTGACATTTGCCTACAAGGCATTCAGTCCAGAGTTCAGAACCAAGTGCCTGAGTTTCCAAGCTTTCCAAAGAGAACTTTTTATAACCCTGACTGCCTGTTTTCTTAAAAATGAAAGTGGTTTGCTCATCAAGTAAATTCATCAAGTTTACACAGTGTTCCTTTTGAACTGAGTTTGCATTTCCTTGGAAAAAAAAAATTGTTAACTGTAGGAATAGGATCTGTGATCTCAGCACTTCTATAACTCCTGATTAACCTCAAAAACACTCACTCGTGCCTTTTTTAAAGCCACAAAACGTAAAATTGAGACTTTTTTTCTTTTATCAGAATAGATTTTACCATTATAAGCCACTGAATGTCATCAGATAACCCTTTTGTTGTCTTGACAAAGAGCTAACTCTAAATTGTGGCAAATGAGGTAAGAAAGTACTTGTAACTATAGCTGGGGTCTTCTTGCCCTTTAGAAGAGAAAAGTCTGAGCAGTCTTAGAGAAGGAAGATTACCTTCTGCTAATTCCAGATTTGGACATTGAGGCCGTATGAGTAAAGCTGATGTGTATGCTAAGAATATCTTGAAGGTTAATATTAACGCTTTGACTGTTACCTACATAAGCTTCCAAGATTTGAAAACCCTCAAATTAAAAATGAGCAACAAGATAACTTTGGCAAGAAATTTAAGACAATAAAAAATTCCATGCACCGACCACGAAAACAGTGGAGTCTGTTTTAATTTTGAAAATGGTAATGAGTCCTAATTTATCATTGGTGCTTAAGCAGAACCTTAGTTGATGTCACTGAGGCATTCAGCCTAATTGCCAAAGGCATATGGTAAAGTATGACTAAAACTACTTTGCTCCAATGCAAATGAGTTTAGGACTTCAGGAACAACTGTTGAAAAAATAGTTAATACAAATGCTTAATAACGAGAGAGGGTATGATGTCATTTCAATTACTGCAATAAAGAATATGCCTTTCAAGAGAAGCAAATGTCAAGTGATCAGCATGCCGTTTGTTGAATGAAATTATGCTGGTGAGCACTGTGAAAGAGCTTTTCTGTAGTTCTGTTAATCCATTTGAAATTTGCTTCCTTCGTGCTAAGGATGAGTTATTGACATGCTGACACAGTGTCTCTGTAAGCAGTCCTAACCCTGCAGTTGATATTTGTGAAAACTAACCATCATTTCCATTTTTGTTTCCAATTTGCTCACTTCTGTTTTCATACTGAAAGGCAAAGCAATATTCTTGTGCAATTATTTATATTTTCATAGTTTTGCAAGTAAATTAACCCAGTAACAATTCCGAGTAGGTAGTAAATGTTGTTGTCCCCTTTGGATACTTAGGAAAGTCATAAGATATGTAGAACGATTTGCTGAAGGCCGTGCAATGAGTCAGTGTTATATCCAATATTACAGATTAAGACCATTGCTCTGAGCAACTGCAGAGTGTTGCTTGGAGCAGGAGATCGATACGTGCTGAACTCTGTGCTATTTTTAGCAGAGGGTTCACTCTTCCTTCATTTTCTGCCTCCTTGCTGTGTGTACCATCTTCCACGGACTGTGCTGTTAGACCAATAACACATTCACAGGGGTCCTTAGAAGCTTTTTCCCCTGTTCTCGTACAAGCGGGAAGAATTACACTAAGTAGTTAATGTGTTCTAATCGGCAAAAAACTTGCCCTTATGATATAATATGTATTGTTTACTAATACCTTTCTTGAAATCTTTGAAAGATGTTTTTGGCGTGATACAATTCATCAACCAAGAACATAATTATTAACAAATGCTATGTTGCCATGTTAAAATAGAAAAAAGAGCTGCTTCTAGAAAACACTGAAGTGCAATATACCAGGAAATTAATGACATAGTAAATAATACAGTCGCTCAGTAAGGGAATACTTAAGAATGGATCCCAATCATTACAGGTGTCTATTAATAGGGCTTTTTTCTTTGGTTATGTTTCCTTGTTGATGGAAATAAGCTGATTCTTGATTTTCCATGTGCTGAACATGAAGAAGTGACTGTGTTAATTTCCTTTCTTCCTGTTTTGCAATTATATATTGCACAAACATTCAGTAATCTTATATAAAGAAAACTCTAAAGGTATTTCCCAAAATACACCATAATATTTTCCTAATGAAACAAAGAATCTTATTTTTGATCATATTAATTAATTTTGGGGCAAAAAAGAAACCAGAACATCCAACGTGGAATGCAAATATTGAAGTACTTTAAATTTACCTAGTCTTGTTTTAGAAACCTAAGATTCTGTATTTAAAAAAATAAACAAAGGAAAATAATGTTTATATTGCAGCTCAAGAAACCTAAAAATTTCTATCACCAGTATCATGAATGTAGCAGACCACCAAATAACCAGTCATAGTCTGTTTCAGCTTTTTGAGTATACAAATCTAATGCAACTTATTTCCTAATTCAGGTTTTCATAGAATTTATTATTATAACTCTATCTTAGTTTGTAGTATTTTGGAATTCATGCAAGTTCTTGAAATGAATAGAAGTAGCAATCAGAATAAATGCAATATGCTCCTTTATGTGATGTCTCTGAAAACCGTTCCACACAAATTGTTTGCAGATGAAGCTTAGAGAGGGTTTGAGTCTGCTCAGGTGGAGACAGAGCTGGACATTCTTTGTTCTATATAGACTATTCTAAAAATGCTGTTTAGTCATTGCTACAGTTAGAATATTACTCTGTAGGCTTCACATTTTCTTGATGACACAAGGAAGACAGATGTCATGATTCTTCAGTTTTCTAGGCAGCAGAATAAAATGCATTGAGTCTGATACTCCACTAGGAAAACGTGCTCCAGCAGATGTGTATAGAAGTCCAGAAGCACATCTGCATTATACATGAACTGGAACATTCCTCACTTAAAATTGTTAACCACAGAACACATCTGAATCAGGATTTCAATAGCCTGAACAGTGTTCAGTTTTTGGAATAAGCATTATCTCTGACTTTTCCAAACGTTAAGAATGTGTGTGCCCTCACGTTTACACTAGATGTTCCTTTTAAGAATCTCTCTTCCTCATTGTTTATTGTTCTATTAGATGGATGAATCGTTTGGGTCTTGCAGCAATTGGTTACACCCCTGATGACAAGGATATTCATCCAGATGAAGGTAATGCTTCAGAGATTATAATTAGAAGAGAGCAGGGAGTACAGAGCTGTTCATTATTTGAACAAAGTTGGAGATGTCAGAAATGACATCTTTATTAACGTATGTGCCATATCTTATAAAAATACCATTTTTCATAAGAATCCATATCCTTGAGGACCTCTATTTATTTGTGCTACCACCAAAGTAAATAAAATAAATATTTAAATATTTAAATATTTAAAACAAGTAATAAAGAGAATGCAAGGTTGAGGGTGAGGTGTGATCTCCCAGATCAGAGCCATCAGCTATGCTCGTCACCCTAGAGCAAGTGAAGCTGTCACAAACACGGGTCAAAATGTGCTTTAGAACTGTATCTGCATCGCCTGAGCTCTGATGCCAGCCTTGCCTTTTTCACCATCGCCCGTGGTGGAACCTCTTATATTAACATAATTAAATTAAGTGTTGAGGCTCAGCTCTACTTCAGCATCTAGAATGAAGTTGCACTTCAAAATTCTGTGACCAGAAGCTGTTTTTTATGTACAGTGGGAGTTAGGTGCTGACCTGCTTTCTGTAATGCTCTCCTGAAACACTGGAAGGTTCTTCCATGTATCTTGTGTATCTTAGGTCCCGGACATTCTCACAGGTCTGTTCCTTAGTGGCTGCCAAGCCACTTCTGTGACTGTGAAATGTTCACCTTTGCATGCTAATGATATTTTTAAAATGTGGGATCCGGTTTCTTGTTGAAAAGCACATGAGTGAAACCCGGAATGTTTTGTTAGCAGATTACTGGAGTGAGAGCGACCAGGATGACATCGACGGCTCTTTAACCCTGAAGCAGGAAGGCTCTTCAACACTGTGTGACTCCTATCATCGAACACCCTCAGTGAGTTACAAATATTGCATTTAACAGTAGGTCACAAGTAAATATCTGTGTGCCTTGATTTGCATTTTCCTTCTTTTGAATTACTTAATTACCATAAAGGCAGAACAATGATGGGTCTCATTGTAAGAATGAAATTACTGCTGTTCCTCATGAGCTAAGGCCTGAAGGATTTGATAACAAGGCAGATACAAAGGAAGGAGAGGTAAATCCTTGCACAGATATGTCACCAGACTGTAAATATGACATTTTTTTTAGGATTTGGGAGCTTACACCTAATAATAAGAATACTCAAATGTTGACTTGACTTCAGAATATGAAAAGAATGTGGTGACTGGAACAGTCTGCATTAACTGACACTGTTTTACAAGTATGATATGGGATACTGGATGCTAGAGGTTAAGATCAGAGCACATTCATGAGGTAATCATGTTTTAGTAGAAACTTCAAGAACATGTCTTTAGAGGCAAGGGTCTTCTACAAAATAATTGTTGTGTACAATACCAAAGTAGTGATAGTGTTTTCTGTTGGTGTCATAAGATGTTAAGTAGCTGATAAAAATGCTTCTAATATATTGTGTACAGACAGGTTTTGATAACTGAGGGGAAAAAAAATTACGTATGTGAAGAAGCTCTAGTAGCAAATAAGAACATTTCTATTATACAGACCATAGACAGGCTGTGATAATTACTCTGTTTCTCAGCGCAGATAGGACTGTTCTCTATTTTTCTTTCAGATTTTTCTTCAGCGTGAATGACACGATCCTCACACAGCCAGAACCAAAGAAAGAGTGACTGAGACAACAGCATCACATGGGTGAAGTTCAGACTGATTTTCACCCATGTGATGCTGTTTTATCAACTGGGATACAGGTTAAGCCCCTCCCTTTCTGTTTTTCCACTTTTTTGCCTTTCTCTTTGTTTTTGAACTAAAATTATACACAGACCCAGCAGAATTAATTGAAATAATTTGAGAAGTTCAGCAGTCCTGCAAAATTCAAAAAGCTTCCTGGGCGCTGAAGTCTTTTTTTTCTATTTGGCTGGATACTTATGCTCTAAAAAAAAAAAAAAATATTCCAATTATGGTTTCATTTGGGGACTTCATGTCTTCACAGCACACTGCTGGACTGAGTGTAAACTGGACAGGTCTTCAGAAAACCTGTACCAGGATTATACTGTTCTTTCCAGCAGGAGTTGCTCATGGGCAGAGAATGTGCAAAACAAGAATAGGGAGTGGTAAAAACTTAGCACTTGCATAAAAGATCTCACTGCTAGTTATGTTCTGTTTACCGAGGTTCACATTATGACATACTGAAACACACACATCAGTCCATTTTATTAGTATACATCATATAATGTCTATGTTACAGTCATTTTCTTGGGTCTGTTCAAAACATTGTCTTATAGTCAGATGCTTTTGTATCTTCTCAGGTGAATTCTTCAAGTCCATTCCCTGAAGCCAAGCACGGTAGACACTTTTCAAGTGAATCAACGTATTCTCATTCTTCTGCCGAGGACTCTCGGCAAGAGGCAGCAGGAAGCACCCACTCCTCAGGATGCAGACCTCCCTACCGAGAAAGACGCTCCTGGCAGGATCTGATAGAGACTCCATTAACCAGTTCAGGGCTCCATTTTCTGCAGACTGTTCCTCCTGATGCAGAGTACACGAGTGGCCGACCTGGAATGTCGCCTGACAAACGAAGACAGGCAACGCTACCAGTACAAAGGCGTCATAATTACGAGCAGGATGGGCCTTTCCCTTTGGTGGGATGTCAAAGGGGACACAGCTCCCATAGCAGGCCACAAAAGCAACGTAGTCAAAGCCTTCCCCGAAACAGAGATGTCAGGGGCAAGGGACGCGTGCAGTCCATAGAAGGAACAGATGACAAGCTGGAAGAGAAAGTTCCTATTAGAAGGCATAATAGTTTCTGTGCAGAAGGTAAGATTTCTGTGGTCCTCTTTACTGCCATTGAAAGCCAGAGAAATATTGCCATTTTTCTCAGCAAGGTTGTTGTGGTTGAACTGTTACGTGTTGGCAAATTCATCAATCACTACACAGGAGCTTGCACTTAAAATGCTTGGATATAGTGTTAGGAATATAGCTTTGGGACTGATCAAAATGTTCTTGTTTTACCAAAACAAAACTGGAAGACTGTGTTACAGGGCTCCTTTATACATGAATTCGCAATACTGCTTCCTCATTTTAGAGAATTCATCTGAATGGTTAAATTTGTTGTTAGAATTCTTTATCTTTTCTTTCAGAAAATGTAAAAGAGATTGGAGAACATACAGATGGTCTGCAAGAACTATACAAATCTCTGGAACAAGCTAGTTTGTCAGCCTTTGGAGAGCAGCGTCCTTCCACCAAGCAGGAGTTCCGCAGGTCTTTTGTAAAGCGATGTAATGATCCCATTATCAATGAAAAGCTTCACCACATCAGAGTTCTCAAGAGCACTTTAAAAGTAAGGCTTTGTCATTAATTTTGTGTATAAGCAATATAAACTAGCAAAAGTATAATCTCATAATGTTTTCAATGCATGAGGCTTTCTTTGAGCTTTGGAATTAAGTTTCAAAGAACTAAAAATACTTGAAAGCAAACATGTTCCAGCTTAAGAAAAAAATATATTATTTGGTATTCTTTGTAGGCATGTTGTAGAAAGTGCCAAGTCAAACAGTTTAAACTGTAATAGTTCCTAAATATTGGTAAAAGATCAAGTGTCCATAGTAGTTTCCCTAGCACTTTGCATTAAAATGAAAGAAGAAATGAAGTGGCGAAATACAAAATGTGACCTAAATTTCACTTTGCCATGTATCGTGTCTTTCTGGAATTTGACAGGCGAAGGAAGGAGACCTCACAGTTATCAACAGCCTTTTGGATGATCCCAACTTAACATCAAAGAAGTTTAAAGATTGGAAACTAAAGAACTATGAATTTTTCCTGGACATTTGTGAGTACAGTGCTGCTGTGAAATCTCAAAATGGAGCCTCTGAACTGGCAACCTCAGCACCAATGCTGACACACACACACTCGTTCATTGAAACTCACGTGTGACAGAACTCGTATCCTGAATAATTGCTGGGTGCCATGAAAAAGCGAGTAAGACAAACACTGTAATATTTATTGATAATATACTCAGCAGTACTGTAAATAAGTTGGGTAAGAGACTAGCGCCACAGGATGCCTACTACATTGCATGATATGACAATAATATTCTTTATGAATTTTTTTTGTTTGCTATTATCAACCAATGTCCGTATCAAGCTCTGCATTAGAAAGAAGAAGTGCAGAAGTGTAACTGAAAATAAGTACCAGTATATTTAAAGTACTGTACTAAAACTAAGCTTATAGTATGAGGTTCTACTATCATTTTATATATTTAGATATATATAAAGACATATCTATGTATATAAAATGTAACACAGTAGTTGACATTTACTTTTAAAATGCCCTAAAGTTCACATTTTTCTTGAGAAAAATAAAATTAAAACATAAATACATTGGCCACTCTTAGAGATGAACGTTTATTTTTGCAACATTTCCAGGTAGTGACCATCTTTGCAAACAAAAGGACAGAGTTATCAAAATGTAAACTCAATCCCTATAGTGTGCCTTAAAATGTACACTGTACATCTAGCAAATAGATCCCAATCTGGCCCTATGGGCATACTGTACATGCCATTTAGATACTGTGTTTGTAACGTACTGTGCCTGCCTTTGAAGTGAATGAACATAAGCAAGCAGGTATGGCACAGAGGTTAAGATATGAGTAGAACAATGTTGGTTGTTCACTAATGCTGCAACTTAAACTGATTTTAATATAATTTGAAGTATTTCATGGTGGAAGAAAAACATCTGCGCTGAATATGGTACATACTGCAGGTTTTCATATTTTCTTCACTGTGAATTTAAGTGACACATGACTGTGAGTCACAAAATTAAAAAAAGCTCTGATACTTCAAGGATGAGAATTTTAAAAATCCTGAACTAATCAATTAAATTCTGTAATAGAGTGACATCTAGAGCTGAGTAAATTATTCAAAATTATATAATGTCTGGCAATAATTTTTAACTGTTAGTAGTAGATTAGCAAGTGGGTGAAGTTATTCAATACATCATTTGAAAACCAATCTGTATTGATTGGTTTGGGAAGACACGCAAGTCACATAGTGTATTTCACTTCCTTGCCTGGATGAGAATGATTTCTAAGAATCAGATTTTGGAGAAAATACTTGTATTCTTGGAAAGAAAAAAAAAAAAAAGTTTGCTCTGAATGGTAGTGAATATAAATTTCAAACACCCATTCATGATTTTCTTTGACTATGCTTGCTAGAATATTTCTAGAAAGCAGAACCAAGGGGATGTGAATATAGTTGACGTCATTTCACTTAAACACAGATATTCACTGAACATTTTTTCACAAGATAAACCTAGCCATCTCTCATACATCAAGAACTGTAAAATTCATACAGTTCAATGTAACGTAGGAAAAAACATTATCTCAATGAGGTCCTAGTATCAGAGAGAGATTTAATGATTCACACAGCCAGAACTGGGTGAAGGCATGCTGTTTGTTTAGCTCAGTCTCCACAAAGCAGCTGTGGTGGGTTGGCCTCGACTGGCTGCCAGATGCCCACCAAGATGCACTCACTCCCCCTCCTCAACAGGACAGGGGAGGAAATATAGTGGAAAATCTCGTGGGTTGAGATAAAGACAGGGAGGTCACCTACCAATGACCGTCATGGGCAAGACAGACTTGACCTGGGGAAAATTAGAATCTAATTTATTGCCAATTAAAAATACAGTTGCATAGTGAGAAACAAAGACAAAACTAAAAACGCCCTTTCCCCACCTCCTCCCTTCTTCCCAGCCTCAATTTCAGTCCTTTGTCCCCAGCTTTTCTACCTCCTTCCCCCCTCAGTGGTGCAGGGAGATGGGGAACGGGGTTGCAGTCAGATCATAACACTTTCCTCTGCTGCTCCTTCTTTACACTGTTCCCCTGCTCCACTGTGGGTCCCTTCCTATGGGGTAAGGGCCCCATGTTTGTAGTTTCCAGACCATGCCCAACATGGGAGCAGCCCCATGTCTTTTCTCAGAGAGGCCACCCCTGCAGGCCCCCTGCTACCAAAACCTTGCCATGTAAACCCAATATGGCAGCTGAAGAAACACAATTCGGATTTGGTTTTTACTCTCATTTTCACTGGCATTTATTTGAACCACAGAAGATGCAGTGATCAAACAAGTAAGAGTCTGTACCTATACAAGATGTTATTAGTAGAGAAGTATCACTGACAGCTGGTTTGAGTTCTTCACATCCCACAGGCAACTGAGTCACAGCGTCATTGCAACAACTGCATAACACCATTTGGATAGATAGACACCATGAAGGCATGTTTGGCCTGCTTCAACAAAGTAATCAACTCTGTAATTAAGAATCACTGAAGACAATAGCTCCTTAAATGCACTCACCAGACCTTAATCATATTTCCATTGCAGTAAACAGCAAAACACCAGTGACTTCAGAGGACCAGGATCACGTTGTATGCATTTTTCTTGAATATTAAACATGCACCTCACGTTCTGTCTAAGCACCTGAGGTAATAAAAAAGATAGAGGCAATAGAGAACAACAGTTTGCCACCACAGGTTTCACCAATATTGGAGTTGCAGTATTCATGCAAAATGTAGAAATAAATTGAATTGTATTTACTACGTGAATTTTGTAGTACTGGACAACTGAATAGCGGAAGCATTCATAGAATTTGCCTAGCTTTTTTTCGTATCAGACCACTAAAAGCTCTATATTTCACTATTTTTTAATACTATCCTTCATATAATGTGGGAGAAATACTACCCAGTGAAGCAAACAACAGGGTAAATTGCGGAAGCCGTTTAGAAACTAGTTCATACTGTATATGCAAACAGATAGTCACAGAATTAGCTAAATGGACTGAACTTTCTATATTCATAAAGAAATTTAAACACACCTTTTGTTTCAAACCCAAAAGATGGTTTGTGCTTTCATAATAAAAGATCTGTACAATTTTAAAATACCTTTCAAAAAGGATTTCAAATGCCATTGTATTGTAACTCAAGACAGAAATGACAATTGCCCACTAAGCATATTCAGTGAAGTCCCTAGAAAACAAGAAATAAGCTAGTTCTCTTCTCAAATGCTACTTACAGATACAGCTGAAAATTACAAATATCATCAGGAAGGTGTATTTCTCAAAAATAACACAAATAGTAAGGAAAATATACAATCTCAATTTTCATTTTGCAAGGTTGAAAAAATACATATTTCTGAAATATGAGTAGATGAGATGAAAAGTTGAGAAATCATACTTTCGCTCAGCTTATCTTTAAAATCTGTCATGAGGTCACCTTTTCTGGAATTCTGCGAGTCACAGGTGTCTGTTCTGCTCTTGGAGAGCAGTTCTCTTGAAATATGATTCACACTGAATAGTCAAGATAAATTATCCAAGAGATTCATAAGGTGAACTGAGGTACACTGAAAAAATCTCCTGTAATGGTGTTAGGATTAACTGGGAGAAAAGTCTGAAAGATTTGTCTAGCATTGCTTATGCCTTAGAGCGAGCAAAATCTAATGGTTAAATTAAGCAATACAAAGACTTCATTCTTTCACAAACGCCAGCTGGCATTTGAAAGTCATTTCACAAGAATTTTGTCATACTTTTTGCACGTGTACTCAACTCTATACTACAGCCCTCCCCACCACCAGTTTCTTCTTTCTGGACATAGGTACTAATGTAGCTCTACTGTAGAAAGAATGTACAATTTCTCCTTAGTTTTCCCAGAGGGAAATGGTGCATTTCTAGGGAAGACAGAAGGGTGTGGGTTGTAGCAATGGCTTTTTGCTTGGGGTGTGGGTTTGTAGATTTTCCACGTACCACATGCCTTAGCCCACTGGGCTTCAAATCTCACTGGAGACAATACACCAACTTCCCTGTTGCCAAATTATATTTATTTACCATGAATATAAAAAATAGGTAGTAACAGGAAAGACTGAAGAAGCAATATTAGCTAATTAATTTATATCGAGTAATAAAAAGTTCTTTTCCTTTCAGAACTTTTTTCCTCATTAAAGCTAAGGTTCAGAGAAGGTTTTTCAGGTGAGCTACTGCAGGGACAGACTCCTTGTCTGCTCTTACCCCAGACGAACTCATGGTGTGGCTGAGGCTCCCAGTGGGGTTAACTGGGTGTGCACCTGGAAGTCAAACCTGAGCCATATCAGTTGATGAATAGAAACTGCATTGTTATTTAAACAGAAACCAGTAAATTGTATTTTCTTAGTTCATTTTAAAAACTATTTTCTTCACTCTTGTTACGTATAAAGCATAATGATGTACTTCTGATCAGTTTCATAGAGTAATTCAGGGAGGCAACTCTTTATTCTTGATAAAACTAATAGATGAAGAACCATTTTTTAAAGCTTAGTTTCTATGTTTTATGGGTGATAGCAGACTTCCGCATTCAGAAAGAGGATTACAAATAATATTGTTTAAGCTATTATCAGTTTTTGAGATAGCTGATATACTACTGGGACCTACTCTTAATAAATATTTTAAAAATTCAGACAGATGCTGCCTGTTATGTTCAGGAAAAGAACCATATTCATTCTTAATGCAGGCCAGACAGATATATCTTTATTTTTATCAAGCACATACAAGTGTTAAAAGTGACAATTAGGGACTTTGCTGTATGCATTAATGCCACTGTACGAGCAGTATTTGAAAGAATGCAATGTTGTAAAAATGATAAAATCTGTCGACAAACTGTTGTTTGACCAACTAGGCCCTCTAGCTTCTGTCCTCACATTCCTAGAATATTGTTCATTCCCAGGCATTGGTGAGGGTATCAATACAGATCTTTTTACTGACTGTAAATGCATCTGTCCGAATGCTGCAGATTAAATAAGGATGCCACATTATACATACTAACTCTATTGCATTTTTTTCACTAGCAACCATGAAACAAATATGTCTTAACAAATCATGTTCACTGGCCAAAATATAAGACCCTGTTACCAGCTAAGACTTCTGTTTTACTGAGAAACAAGGATTTCAGCTGAAAAATCTGAGAGGAAAACAGGTTAGGATATAAGAGAAATGCACTAGTGTTAATAAACTTTTTACATTTGACACATACTGTATTACAGAGAAAAATATCCTTGTAAGACCATTAATTGCTGGGCCATAGGTGACTTCTGTCTAGTTTACTAAAGTAGCTAATAAATCTTGTATAGAGAGCCTTTTTTAGATAATGCTTACATGTATGAAAATGTATGACACCCTTGTACTATGGCTTGCACTTTACTTGCATTAAACTGTGAAGTAGGCTGTAGTAATGTCTTTGTATATTCAGGGGTTGAAATACCAAAGCACTGGAGTATCGCACTGCTGGTGTTCAACCTGTACTGTTCATTGAATCTGAACGTGCTGACAACGTGTGTTTTGAAAACCCCACTAACTCCAAATCTTTAGCAAATAATGCTATGGGGTCTCCATGGTCTTTGTTTCTTTGTAAATATGAACATTCTTACTGTTTCTGTAGCAATAGGAGGTTATAAACCAAACTTTCACTAGGACTGTTTTCAATAACAAAAAAATCTATAGCGCCTTGTATAAAAATCATGGAGACTCCATGACCTGTGGGCATTTTTTGTTTACAAGCAGTATGTATATATGTATTAGAGGCAGAACTGTTATTTATCACAAAACTATATTGTGGATTATTCTTTCTAAAATAAATATGTTTTTCTGTCATTATAAAAATAAGTATTTTAGAGCCATCTTGAAAAGTCTGAAGTGTGAAGGCTTCACATACTAGCAATCTTCCATGTTTCAGCCTTGTTTTTCTAATTGGCTGTGAGATGACCTGAGGAAATGGTGATCCACCTCTCCGTGCCGGGGAAAAGGTCCGAGTCGTGTCACAGTTTCTGAGCATTCTGCAACTTTTTTATAATCACCATCTTGCTTAAGCGCTTTAATGAGCAGATGCTCCCCCGCTCCCGTAGTAAAGTCCCTCAGCTCATGGATGCTACAGAGAGAGAAACCCAACTGCTCTAGACTAATACAGGTAAAACTAGGTTTCAACCCCTGAATAATACAGTATTTCTTCAGTTTCACAACAGTATTTTTAATTTTATACTTGTCTATGTTGAGAGATGATCCAATAGTTTATATAGGCAACGAACGTTAGGTTTCTTTTTTCCCTCTTTTCAGATGAGTTCTGTGTGAATTACTGTACCCGGCTGCGTTTTTTCTATCACAGATTATCTTGGTAACTTTTTGTGTGTCTACAACGAAAATTTATGAATGGAAAACTTCACTGTGTGTTGCTCACTGGGCATATACCTCATGGTACATTGCACAGACGTGTAAGTTGTAAGTTGCACTGCAACATTAAAAAAGGAACATATTGCTCTTTTTTCAAAGATATTAACTTATTTAAGAGATATAGTCTGTACATTATTAAAAAGAACATTTATTCTTCCTAAAGTCAAACAAAGCTTTTGTTTTGGGGAAAAAAAAAAGTTGTAAACTTCAGTTGTAAATTTGGACTTCAATAAACGAATTACCTGCACTTAAGTTTGGTGTTGTGGAATCACCTGTCATTAAGGAGCGCGGGCGGCGCCAGCGGGTGCGCGGAGCGGCCGGGGCCGCTGGGGGGCGCCCTCTCCCCGGGGCCGGACCCGCTGTCCGGCGGAGGGTTCCTCTGTCCGCTTGGTTCCTCCGCCAAGGCCTAGGCGGTTTAACCGGCGGGTTTCTCTCCGCTTCGTGTTTTAAAATGGCGACATTGGGGATCTGCGCTTTCCCGGCTGAAACAGAGTTGGCGGTGGCGCGTCCTGGAGCAGGTGCCGCGGAAGAACATCTCCCCGGCGGCGGGGAGAAGTTCTCCACAGGGCTCGCTCCGCGCCAGCCCCCCTCAGGGGCACGTTCCGCTGCGGACAGCGCTGCCGGGGCACCCGCGGGCTCTGCTTTCAACCCACAGCCGCTCTGCAGAGCGGGGCCACATCACGGGAACCGAGCTCCGTGCCTCGCGGAGCCGCCACAGCGCACCCGCTACCGCGGCTGTTTACTGAGCGACGCTCACTCCAGCCCGGCCCTCAGACGCCCGTCCCGCTCCCCTCAGGGTGCCCCGTCGCTGAGGGAACACCAGAGCCCGGCGCCCTCGGGAACTCCCGCTCCTTCCCCCGCGGTGGCGCCGGGCGGCCCAGCGCAGATGCTACCCCTCACCGGGCACCGGCCGGGCAGCCCTGGGCTCGGACACTGCCCCGCCGGGCCCGGCCCGCCCCCCGCGGCCCCGCCCCGCGCTCGGCCCTTCCCGCTCGCCGTACGCGGCCGCCCGGGGCTGTCGCTAACATGGCGGCCAAGGTGAGTGCCGCCTTGCGTGAGGGAGGTCGGTGCTGCGATGGCTCCCTCGGTCTGGGCTCCCCTTTCGCCCAGGGACCCGCCGCCTCGGGGGGAGCTGCAGGACGCCCCGTGGGGGCTCCCTCGGGAGCTCCCGGAGCAGCCGGCCCCGCGCGGCCTGCCCGCACCCCGTCTCCTGTCAGAGCCGGCCCGGGCACCTCCTGGCTGAGGGAAGAGAAGGGGCCCCTTCGGCCGCCGGGCCCTGCCTCAGGCTGGGGGGTCGCCCGCCGAGCTGTGTGTGCGGCCCAGGCCCGGCGGCTGCTCCGGCCGGAGCGTGGCTGAGGGCGGGAGGCGGAGGGGTCGGCCGTGCCCCAGGAGGGGAGGTGGTGCCCCCACAGCCCGTCCCCGGTGCCCGGCTCGCCTCGGCCCCACAGCTGCTCTGCGCCAGCGGGGGCGTCAGGCCAGGGCGGTTTTTGGGAGCGGGGACGCCCCTCAGCGTGTCAGCGAGGGCTCCCCTGAAGGAGGAGCAGGAAAGAGGTCTCGGTATCGCTTTCTCCGGTGCTGAAGTTGAGGTAGAAGGAGCTGGATCGAGAGAGTGGTTAAACTGTACAGCAGGGGCATTTCTGTTCTGGGTTGTTCTGCGTTTACTTAGAGCCACTGAAACGCCTTCCACTCCGTACGGGAGAGATGCCGGTTTGGCAGTAGCATTGTAAGTGTAGTGGTGTTAGGTCATCACTAAAACAGCAATCTTACAATAACGTGGTTGCAGACTAACAGGGTAGCAAGTATCTGAAGTATCTTTCATTGTAGAGACAACGTAGTGTCTTTAAACAGGGGAAAATGTGCCTGTAAAGATCTAGGCTTTTGCTGAAATAGGTGTTTCAGTTTTCAGTCAAACTGAGGAGTAGATTGCTCCCACGTGAATCTTCATGTTTACTTTTGCAGATCATTTAAAGTCTTTATGTACCTGCAAAGAAAAAGATGATGCAAATGAGGATAGCCAAAGGAATGAAAGTGAAGCGATTTACCTTAGTTTGTTAGACAACTAGACAAGTTTAGTTTGTAGACAAGTTGGTTCGTAAACAAGCACCTGAAAAAAGAAATTGTGTTTGGCTTTGTTGTATGCCTCGGTGATCTTGAAATAGCATAGTTTAATACATAAATCGGAATGATTCAGTGCCTTTGGTGAAGTGATGTAACTTTATGTGTGTTATTATTACTATGAAAAATTAATAGAGTTTTGTTCTTCTTAAGTTTTCACTCTCCATGGGTTACCATCTGGCAGACAAAGGTTAAAAACAAATCCATGGAGTGTCGGTAAGTTGACTTGAAGTGGAAGGATGCTCTGTTTCACTTGTGTGCACTTTTTTCGTGGTTGTCATTAGATATTTATAAAGAAATACATAACCAAATTAAAATACTGATTTCGGCTTAGAAGCTTCTGTCAATCATCAGGTCTCACGTAACTTCTGGGCAAAATATATCAAAAGGCTGTGAGACGGTTTTCTGTTCTACCTGAAGACCTCTTAGTGGTAGGAGAAAGCCATAAACCCATGTTGCTTATTCTTTGAATAACAGCTTTCCACTGAAAATATGACATACAGTAGCTGCTAAAGTTTTAATTTTACTCTGATCCTGGCTAGTAGGTTCTGCTTTATATAGAAGGCACCTGTATTAATATATACTTGCTAATATAGAAGGCACCTATATTAATATGTACTTGCATTAGATTTTTGCATGTAGTCTACTTCCATTACCTGTTCTCGTATTGAGGCTTGTTCCTACCTTCAGGGCAGGTTTCCTTATTTGTGCTCCACTTCTTGAAGCAAGTATACAGACTTTGCATTTTCAGTGGGAAACAATACTTAATATCTTGGAGATTAGCATAAATTAAATATATGGTTTTATTCTTTAGTTTGTATTCTGCATCTTTGGAGTTGAAGATAATAAATTCTTTGTAGTGATGTAATGATTTAACTTTTTTTTTTTGTGGAATCTGTATTTTTGATCTTTGATAGGATTCTAACACATTGAAGTGTATTGTTTGAAATGCAAAGACTTAAAGCCAAAATTATCCAGGTACATTTGACAGTTTCATTAATATATTTTGATTAGTGTTACTCTAGTTCTACTATCAAAAGGCATAGCTGTAACAATTTTCTGCTAGAGAGCATATAATAAATTTCTTCAGCAAATAATTGCTATTCAGCCTTCTCATCAAAAATAATGCCATGTCTGTTAGTCTGTGCTGTTTAGTGCTTTGAAATAACTGGTGTGCTTTTTATGCCTGGGAAAAAAACCAACCTACTGGCAGTGTGTGTTGCAGTGTGATGGCAGTGTCAGTAGCAAGGCAGTGGTATTGCAGGAAGTCTTCTGACTCTTACCATTGACCTTCCCCCATCCAGAGCAGGAGGGCTGGTAATTTCTAGTGTCTGTAATTCTGGTGATGTTTAGATCTGTATTCATGTAGAATTTATCTCCGGAAGATGTCATCTGGGCTCATGGCTTTTGTAACTGCTGGCATTTAGATCTGCTGCCATTAGGGACCGGGTGATTTTCTTTTGTTAGTTCCGTAGGGCTTAGGTCAGAGCAATAATTCACATAAACACAAAACTAGTAGTAAAATAAGAGCAGATGTTGAACTAAACTCTTTCAATTTAAAAAAATATAATTCCTGAATTCACTAAAGAGAAGATTTTTGTTGTTTGTTTGAATTGGGTATTTACTGATGTTCTGGAGTCATTCTACTGGTTGATTTTTTACAGCTTGAGCTTGTTGCAGATGTTTTTCCTAGTCTTTGATATAACTATGTGATCCTGCCATTTCTTAGTTTTTAGTAACTTCTTTGAGAAGATTTCATAGGTAAAATACCTTTTAATTTCTTTAGCTAAACAATATGTGACTTTCCTTTTTTAATACATAGTATCCTTTGAAGCAATTTTTAATAATTTTAATAGATTAATAATAGGAACAACTTAGCTAATTGAGATCTTTTTTAATATACCTAGTCATCAGATAAGGAAGATAAACAGCTCAATGCAGAAAAGCCTCTTGAGGGTAGCCAAGGTGACGTTGCTTTTCTTTTACCTCAGTTCTCTGTGATTTCAATAGAAGAGAGTGAAACCTTGGAATAATTGTGCCAGCGTGTTAGATAGTACGGCTGTTTGCTTGAATTTTTAAACATTTATGCATTTGTCTTCAGGCGTCCAAAAGTAAAGTAATTACTGTCAGTCAGGAATTGGACTACTTTCCTCATTCACAGTACTGCTTTCTCTTTTACATCTAGCACAGTTAACTCTTGTTGTGAATTTCTAAACCAAATTAATCAAATTTGTTAAGTGTTAGTGGCCAGCCCAGCCTAAACTATGACAACAATATAACTTTTTCATGGTTTCTCTCTTCTAAATTTTATTTTCCTTCTAGTATCTACTGAATATTGATGTATTGTCTTGGTAGCAGCATGCACTGAAATAAGCAATCCGAATTACAATACATTTTAAACAGTTTCCTTTAATAATGCTTTAAAAAGACAGACTTTCTTTGAGGATGGGTGTCCCTTTATAGATAATCTTCTGTATCTCAGGCTGGTCTAAGCAACATTATCAGAAAGACAGCTATTGTGTTAATTGGTTTCTATTTTGATGATTGCCGTTCTCTCTCACCTATTTTGTGTATCCTGGGGCTGTTCAGTGCCAGGAGAGCAGCTCTGCTGGGCTGGCACAGCTGAGTCCACAGCCTCCTGCTGATTTCTGCTGCTGAGGTGGTCGTGGCAGGCACAGAAAGGAAAAATGGCAAGTGCTCCTCAGTGTAGCAGTCATAACTGTGTGCTGTGATGTACTGTGTTAAATCATTGATGTTTAATATTAAATAATGTTATATGCTAAACCTTTTGTTAACAAGTGACTAACTGAATTTTTTCACAGTGCTGGTCAACATACATGGTATCAGCACGGCTGTATCTTCACGTATATAGGACTTTTCTCTCTAGATCTCTGGAATTGGTATCACCTCTTCCTTCTGACTATGTCTGCACTTGCCAGCATAGCTAGGTCACCATGGGAAAAACACAATTCTTTAGTAACATGATTTTTTGGAATCTCCCCCTCTGTCATGGTCCAAATCCAGACGCGTTGTTGGCTTCTATTGCAGTGTCTGCTCCCGCACCTGTGTGCACGTGTGGTGCCTGTAGGACCATCCTGGGGGATAAACAGGCAGCAGGTATAGAATCACAGAATGGTTTATGTTGGAAGGGACCTTAAAGATCATCTAGTTCTGTTATCAGAGCTCTTGCCTTCAAGTCTCTGCCAAGCCTGCCAGCCCACAGGGGAGAAGGGGTGACTCGGTCTCAGCCATCATGCTGTCCCCTTCTCCCCTGGCTGGGACTCCTGGTGCTGCAGGCTCCTCAGTTGTGTCCCCAACTTTCGTCCAGTAGCCATGTCTAGCAGTTCTGTATCCGTGTCCCCTGGGGCTGTTAGACTTCATCTGCAAAGGGAAAGTATTTTGGGGTGTCACTAGTGTAAATTAAGAGAATAGCACATGCTGGTCAACATGATTGTGTCTGCAGTGATGGCTTTGCCAGCTGGGATTTGCTAGCCCAGCTGTACTGGAGTTGTGGGGTTTTTTGACACTTCCAGCTGATGTAGCTGTATTTGAAAAATTTCCTAACGTCAACCTGGCCTGAAGAGAAAAATGGTGGGGTGCTGTTTCTCAAAGCAAAATGAGCTCAGTCCTAGATGCGTTTCTACTATTTCTGTATTGAAGAAAAGCATGAAATAAGTAGCAGCCGCCAGCAGACTTTTAAGGTGAGGCGATAATTATGCTGAGAAGAAGGTTTTGTTCTCTGAGGAGAGGGGAGAGCACATTGGCTGTGTGTTAAGAGCAGGAATACTATATGTTAAGACCGTTAGTGTAGAGAAACCTGAAGTAACCCTTCCGCTCCTCAGCCTCCAAGCCAAAAAATGCAACTGAAGAGTAATTTTTAGCTTTCCCCTGCAGCTTTCAGTTCGGGCATTGCCTGCTTGCCCCTTCTTTTGTAACAGTCTTCTTATCATTGCAGCATCCTCCTTTGTTCTCCTATGGCTTTGTGTTTCGTTGTGATTGTAAGATCTGAAAGTTTTGCTATAAAGATCACAGAGTTTGCTTTAGAAGTGATAGTGTTTTGCTGTCTTGAGTAGTTTAATCTGAATGTCATTGATATCTCATGACTGAGCTAATTCAGGGTGGTGCTTTTGCATTTCTTCATTTTCATTGTGTTTTCGTTATTGCCACTAAATACTGTGAAGTAAATCCCACTCCTTTGACAGGATGTTTCCAATTGAAATCTGAGATAACAATGAGGATATAGTAGAGTATTATACTAGGGATCTAAGGTATTTCCCAAAATGAAGTTTATTTTTTCCCCACTTTTCTATTTTTCACTGTCATCTCTATGCAGATCACGGGAAAGTTTTTCACACTTGTTTTCACATTTTTAAAGTTCCAAAAATACTTCAGATGAGGAACAGAAGAGTTTTCACTGATACAGAAGAAACCATAATCTACCTAAGTTTCAGATACTTCAATGTGCTGGGCCAAGTTTTTTAAGTATATGTGTAGTATAAGCCAGCACGCTTAATACCAGCTCTGATTGGGATCTTAAGGCAATAATTTAAAAAAATAGTCACATGAAGCTATCTTTGAGTTTAAGCTTTGTGTAATACATGGTGGTTTTTTCCAAACTAGTGTTTTAAGTAGACATCCAACTCTCATGCTGAAACCTGTATTTCTGTAATTTATATTGTAACATGCATGATTCAAAAGGTTGAATAGGTGATTTTAAATTCCAGTTACTGCTATGTATTTTCATTTATTGTCAACATATGGTTATTCCAAACAGGCAGTAGTTGGACTGTTCCATGGATTTGAAAGGCGATGACATTTTGTCTCATGTCATGGAGAACTCCTGTAAATGAGATGGAGGTGCTTTTTGCTGAAACAAGAGTCATTCATTGACTTGGAGTAGTTGTAGGTTGAATAGATTAGAACTTAATGTACCTTAAGGGATGATGAAAGCTTCAACATGTCTTTGAACACAAAATTCTCCTGGTATTCAACAACCTAATATCAACAACCTAACTGTTTGTTGTCAGTGAACTCTAGCTTTTTCTTTACCATTGTAATTTGAGAAAATCTTTGTATAAGACAGCAGAGGTTCATAAAGGGAGTATTGTTTTTAAAAGGTTTTAAGTGTGGCTTGTTTAATCACATATTTGATCAAGCACAACATAATAGTAAAATCCAGATTTTACTGGAGTGAAGTTTTTGTTTCTGTGTTAAGATGGCCTTTTTTCATCTCTCTGTTTCAGGTGGCAAAGCTGGCAGCTGTTTCTTCTGGACTGCCATTTGCATGTATTACTGTATATGCAGCAGCAGAAAAGGAAACAAAAAGTCAGCTTGTGAAGCCAAATCAGGTAAGGATCTTATAGTTTGTCAGTCTTTAAAATAATACTAGAAGAATCTCTTTCCATTGAATTATATTACCCAGTAAATAAAATACATAGCTAAGTAATATCTGATAATAAAAATTACCTCCTAAATAACTGACTGCTATAGCACAAAAAAACCATCAAGTATTACAATAGTAAGTTAATGAAAATGAGATAAAACTTAACTATTACATTATTTCCAGACTGAAGCCAGAGAAGGTAAAAGAGTATAATACTTACTGATAAGTCTTTTTCTATTGTACAACTTCTAGTAAACGTGTGCATCTTCCAATTATTCTTGCTCATACTTTTTCTGAATAAAAGATGTTTTCACCCTACTGAGTAATTGTACTTTTTAGAATGCATACAATACTTTCAGTTTTCATTTCTAAAGAATTAACCTGTAGTTAAGCTTGTGTAAAGTTAAGTTTGTAAATATAAAAGAGCATCATTTGATATAGAGGTTTTATACAGAGAGATAAGTGGGAACACTTAGGATTTGTGGTCTTAAAAAACTCCATTCAGTGTAAATAAAAACCAGAATACACAACTGTCTCCCTGAAGTACAGTTATGCTTTTCTTTCCAGCTCCCAATTTATTGTCCACCACCTCTGAAATCGAAATACATTGAAGAACAGCCTGGTCACTTGCAGAAGCAATTTTCTTCAGTAAGACAGACAACCGGCCGCTATATTGGATGGTGCAAGGTAAGAAATACCCACACCCAAAGTTTCCTACAATTCCTGACAATGCTAGACTGAAACATTGAAAAAACAGCATACTTCACTCTGGAGCTTTTTGTGCAGTTCCCCGTGTTAGCGTACACCTACAATTTTTAGCGTACACCTATAATTTAAGATGTAAAAATGAACTCTTCTCTCATTTTTCTCTACTGTACTTACAACAGGGAACATATGTGTTCTTCCTATTTTCCAAATTCAAAGGCAGTGACATAAAGAGGTCCCTTTCAGTCAATGCTAAACTGGGTCTAGGCCAACCCACAATGTCAGGTTCAGAAATATCTCTTGGTTAACTTCTACAGCAAGAGTGATGTAGCTAAATTCTTCCTGGCATTGATAACATTTAGGAATCTGAAATTCCAGGTTAAAGTCCATGGAGAGAGAGCGAGCTGTTTCCAAAGGGCAGGTTAAAAGACCTGATCTAGGTGCTTTAGGAAAGACAATCTGAGTGCATGCAATGGAACTATTAAAGCAGGCTATTACTAACTAGTCATCAAAAAGACCTCACAACTCTGTTATTGAATATTCTAGGCATAGAAGAAAACGTGGCATCTGTCACCTTTCTCTTAACTGCTGGTAAATGACAGCTTTACCCTGGCTGCTGTTAGTATGAAATTTTATGCTTGTATTTTTCTCTTATAAACAAAGTAGTCCCCATTATTTGAAAAAGGCAAAGAAATCAAAATGTCTTCCTGTATTTTCTGTAAATTTGTATCCAACTGGTCTGTGAAAATTTTGTCAGTGACTTCATAACGGAAATAATTCAGTTATAAATCTGTATCAAACTTTTCCATGCCTTGAATCAAGTGAGTGTTTCCAAAATTGACTAGCAGTGACCTCTGGTGGTACAAATTATGTGTTACTGCAAACAAAATATTTCGATGAAATAACTCAAGATGACTTTCCTTAATCTCCTAAAGAATGTGTATTTATGCAATTTGTTGAGACAATGATACTAATAGTAGGTTAGTAGAGGAGTTTGTGTTTTTTTCAGTAAAGACAAACTTGTAGTTAAATAAATTGACCAGTTTGAAGGGAATGATATAAACTCCCTTGACGTTGAGCACACCAAATCAGTATTGCTTGTCTTTAGCAAAACTGAGCACCATTTTTTACAGACTAAAAGACAAAGTCAGTTTTACTGGGTAAGTCTCTTTAGGGAAGAGGAGATTATATTGTCTTATTGAATTTTCTTATGTTATACAGTTGGCATCCAGATGTTTTGCCACCCTACACTACAGTGTCAATTTTGAAAGTGATCTTACTATGTTAAAGGTCTTTTTAAAAATAAAATATGGATGGAAGATTTAAAAAATATAAATATGGTAGTTGAAAAGGGGCTAGGTGTCAGCACAGCCTCTGTAGAAGTTCACTGGTCTGGTTTGGGATTTTTTTAAAGTTACATAATAATTCTTCGTTTCATTGTGCTGAGCCGTATGTGTCAGCTGAGTAGTTTTGTACTGAAGACATGTACTTTTGCAAAGATTTTATATTTATTTTGTGGTGTGGGTTTTTTTGGTGTTGTTTTTTTTTTTTGTAGGATGCTTTTGTCTTTGTTAAAAATGGAATAATGGATTCAATTCAATTTGGAAAAGGTAGGCAAGTCACATATTTCTGAATCGAGTTTTTTCTGTTGTTTCTCCTTGCAATTTAGAAAGACGGTTGAAACAGCAAATTCTAGTGACAGGGAGGAGGAGAGGTAAAGGGGGGAAGGGGAGTGCACTGCAATGCTTTCTGCAAGTGTCGAGACAAAAAAACTGGGACTGCTGTTAATTCACTGTGGAGTTTCATTCTGTCTGAAATGAGAGACATGACCAACTAAATAGTATTTGTTATACCTTTGATTTTAGCTTTGTTCTTATCACAGAGTCATTGAAGTTAGAATCTGTACAGATCCATAGATCTCTCTACAGATCATCTAGTCCAGTCACCTGCTTCAAGCAGGGCCAAAACAGGTTACTTACACCTCTGTCCAGTCAGGTCTTCAACATCTGCAGGGATGGAAATTCTACAACTTGTCTTAATTATAAAAATGACTTCTTAATTGTAGCACAAGTTACAAGCAGTATTTGCATTGAAGTTCAGTATAGGTAACAGTTATTTTCCTTAAAAATAGTATATTGGGAGATTCCAAAATATGTGTTGTCTCATTTAACCTGTATTAACTCACAGTAAAATCAAAACTTAAAATTATGCTTTCCTTTTCCTTTATTAAGGACTAACATTTTATAAAACACAAAAAAAGTATCTAAGGAGGAAAGCTGTTAACTTTGCTGCTGTGTTATGAGGACTGTGATTCAGGTTCTAACACAGACTGCAGAGTGTGCATGTGGAAAATAAAGCATTCATTAACCAAAAATCCAGTCTTGGACTGTTTTCAGTTTTGGATATTCATAATTTTACTTCTATCTTTATTAAGTGGGAAGCAAAGTAAACAGATTAATATTGAATTGCTATGCTTCTTTTTTTTCCTTCTTTTTTTTTTTTTTTTTGATTCTAAGATGCTTATGTTTACCTGAAGAATCCACCACCAGAATTTCTTCCCAAAGTTGGTGTAATTACAATATCAGGCTTAGCTGGTGTAGTGCTGGCAAGAAAAGGTAGGATTTTTTGATTATTTTCATTATTGATGTGTTGAATATGTAGCATGTAGTAATTTTAATGGTCAAAAGATTTTCAGTTCTGAAACATAGGCAAAAGCCTATGTAACTAGTATGAAAAAAAAAAATCTTTCCTGATAAATTTAAGGAACTTTAATAAATATTTCTTTCAGAAGCTGGCTAAGGCCTAATAGAGCAGGACTATATAGTCATTTTTAATGGTGAAATCAATGAAAATTCAAACTAGGACATTTGTTTTGAGTTTGTTCATTATTAGTTTTCAGAAACAATGTATAGGAGGAAATTGGAGAGAAATTATAACAGGTAAGGTTACTGAATGTAGTGAAAACTAAGGGAATTTAGAGGGAAGATGCTAAAGAATGTTGGCATTTGGCTAACAGGTACCGGAGACTACACATTGGAAGGCACGTTTTCAGCAGGTTTGAAGCCAAAAGGGTAATTTAATAGACTTCTCCTTTCAAGATAGAGGAATAATGCTTAACCTGCCAGAACACATTGTTCAGAAAACGTTAATCCATAATACCTAGTGGGTGTCTGTCTGAGTCATCAACACAGTCGCAGATCAGTGAAAATGTTTTTTTGTATCACAGAATCATATGGGTTGGAAGGGACCTCTGGAGATCATCTCTTCCAACTCCCCTGTTACTTCTTGGTGGACGGATTTAAAAAAAAAAAAAGACTTGGGGTTGAGAGTCTGTCACCAGGGCTCCTTGTCAGCAGCCAGGAACGTGAGCCTGGCCCAGCCATTCTCACATTTGAACAAAGAGGCCCCAGTTTCCAGGCTCCTGGCTGCTCCGAGTGCTGCTGCCTGTGTCCTGAAGAGAGTGTGCATGGAGCTAGTGAAGAACCCCAGCAGCTCCTAAATCACACAGGCGCTTTTCTCATTTTTCACAATATTGGAAAATCTAGTTTGAGCATCAGTTTCTTGAATAAGAATTAATCCCAAAGTACCAGTGTCTCCTGCAAACGTGACTCTACTAAACTATAATCACACTCTGTATTCTCTCCTTCAGCCGTTGTGGGGATAAGTTTGATGTAAACAATGGTTAGGGGTTGAACAATTGTGTTTAATTGATACAATTACTTAGCTTTACATTTCACTGGTGTCTAATTATTTGAAATATTTGGCTTTCTACAGGTTCTAGATTTAAGAAAATTGCTTACCCATTGGGACTTACTACTTTAGGAATTTCTGTGTGTTACCCAGCTCAGTCAGTGGTATTTGCTAAGGTAAGTTTGCTTGAATTTTAATATGGATTTAACAGTGAATTTAGTCATAGCTTTCCCATTCCACTTGAATAAGTGTCATGGGACTAGGAGTCAGAATTCACATGCATCTTCATTGAAGCTTCCTTAGTTCTAGAGTATGTAGGAAGATCGCAAAGACCTATACTGTGGTTAAAATCTTTGGACTGTCTTGCATTGGTAAACTGATATGTTGGTTTTTTCTTATATGCAAATCAATGAGGATTACAGTTTCTCAAGAGGCAGTGCGATTTCTTGGCTTGTTGTCATAAGACTTTAAATGTCGGGGTTGGAAGCTGGAGAAATGAATAGGAGTGCTACACTCGATGTTATGACCTGTCTCAGGAAGCTAAATCCTTGTTTCCTGCCTACTTCACATTATGTATCGTGTTTTGCACAGTTTTTTGTAGCTGCAGTTGTGAAGTATTCTGTTTCTAGAGCATTTGTGAAAGTACTCCATAATTGCTGCACTATTATAAAATTACTTTTTGAAAATAGAGTGAAGGATTTGGCCATTTGTAAAACAAAGCACTGCTCACTAGCATGGGCCAGGTCATCTTTGGGGTTTTTTCCCTTTGTGTTACTGTCTTTGATCATTTCCAACATAGCAAGGTAAGTTTGGATCCTTCAAACTGCTGCTGCAGCCTGTTGTGCTAACATTGCCAAAACACCGTTTGCTGATCAGGTTTTGATTTCATTTTGAGTAGGTGGATGTAGCATGTGAATGCTACCTGCAGATTTCTAATACCAATTTAAACATTATTTAGGGTTTGCTTGATGTAAGAGAGAGTCTTGAAAAGTAAATGATTGGGATGTCTTGGTATGGGGTCAAGCATATTCTCATGCAAATGCATTTATTTGAATGGTCTGTGTATCTTGGGATTTTTTTAAAATAATTAAATCACCTTTGTCTAAACAAATAGGTAACAGGAAAAAAGTTACTTTCTGCAAGCCATCAAACCTATGAAGCTGCGCGATCACTATGGGCAAAAAAAGAAGATGTCACCAAGGTACGCTTTATGGAGTAATGACTGTAACTCATAAAAATTCAGCAGCGGAAAAAAGTAAATGAGAAGGTCAAGTACTATTCTGCTGATACTGTATAAATTACTAATTGCGTTGTGAGGCACAAAAACCCCTCTGATATTTTTGTAACTTCAGAGTTTAATTTATGTTATACCTTTCAGACCAATAGATATTGAAATCCCCTGTATAGTCCCACAAGACATGCACAAGAGAAGATAGTTTCTCTTTTGATCTTAAAAATAATCCATTCTGATTCAAGCTTTGGTCCTAAGCAGACCGCTGAATTTAAGATAAAAACACACATGATTAGAGTAGGTATGAGCTTATTCTTAAACATACCAGTGAAGGAAATTCCACAACTCTTCTAGATAGTCTGTTTTAATTACCCTGTGATATACATTGTCCCTGTCTGATTTTTTCTTTTCCTTGCTGTGTCTTCATTGCAGCTGTAGTGAATTAATGGTCAGTAACCTCTTTATATTTCCTTATTACATAAGGAAAAATTATCATGGTTTTTGACATAATCTTCTCCCTAGTATAACCTTTTCTTACAGAGTAGGGTTTTGAACTCTTACCTAATTCTTGTTCTCTTCTGAGCTTTCTCTAGTTTCTCACCATTTTCTGATTTTAGTGATTTGTGTGTGGTTTCTGTTGTTGGTTGTTTTTGTTAACTGAAGTGGTCAAAATAGGACATAGTAAACCAGTTGAGACCTTGCCAGCTCTAAGTAGAGGGGAATATTAGCCTCCAATAAATTACATATGGAATTTGGGTTATTACATCCCATAATTAAACATGTTGTTTCTGAACCTGAAAAGGGTTTTCTCCAGTGGAAATTTAAGAAAAACCCTGATAAAAGTAGTACTTCCCTGAGTAAAAATTCTGCTTTGCACAATGATTTGGGTTTTTTTTCACTTTTTAAAGAAAATGGAAGTTTCTCAATCCTATTAACATTCAGAAGTATTTTGCTTTACATTTGTGGTAATCATTTGTATGCAATCCTCACTTTTTATTTCCACTGAGGAACACAAATGGAATTCTGAATTTTGAAAATGAGATTCAAGTAAATGTCATTAGAGTGATAGCGAAATAAGAATTGGTGTGGTAAAGAAAGTTTCTGCTTTTTGTCCCTAGTGAAGCCTGTTCCCAAAACAGTTGGGTTTTTTTCATTACTAGGGTGTTACCATGATTTGTCTTTCGATCTTCTGTTAACTAAGGATAGTAAGTGTTCTGTAAAAACTAAATGCTACTTCAGTCTTGTGTAAGACTCTATGTTCCTCCTTTGTAAATGGACAGTGACTTCCTTGTGAAGTGCTTTGAGGGTGTCAGGTAAAAGCACAATATAACACTTAAGTGTGTACTCATGACAAAGTAAATTCCCTTATGTGTGAACCTGAAGTTACTGTATCTGAACTGTGGGGTTCTTCAATGCATTTTATTTTTTCCAGCTGTGTTCCTTGTGTGCAGCTCACTTTAACATCATTGAATATCATTGTGTGATGTCATACCTAATTTCATTAAAGATAAGCTTTCAGACTTGAAAGCTTCTTTTCATTTTTGCAATAATGTATTAAGCATAAACCCACGTGCATTTATTTTTTTTTATTACTATTTGGTTCACAGCTGCAGCAAGAGTCAAAATCAGTTGCGCAAGAAGATAAGAAAAAGAAAGAAATTTCTAGTACAAAACCTGAATCCGCTGTTGAGTCCAGATCATTTAACAGAACAGAATCTTCTCCAGTAGAGTCTTGGAGTAATAAAGATCCAGTGCCTTCATCAGGTGAATTAAACAATTCGAGTGTAATCCCAGGGCAACTTGCAAATCCGATAACTTGACTTAATTTTCTAGTTTGTAGTTACTGTTGCTTTAAAATGGAGCAGACCATCATAGCACATTAGTCCTGAGAATATTCTGCACGGTGTCATTTAATATGTACTTCAGAGCCTCAGGGAGGCAATAATTTTCTCACTGTGGACCCTGTCACAGTATCAGAATTTTTATGTATTTGTTGTTCTCTCTCAATAATGTTTTCTTTCATTCCATAGGGTGTGGACCATATCCCATATTATTAGCAATAAGATGATATCATCAAGCATTTCTGTTAAACACCTAGTTTAAATTATCTTTCTGTTGTCAGAATACCATAACTTTATTTAAAGGATTACTGCTGGATTTTTGGGAAAGCAGCTAAGTTGAATTACTGTTCATTTCTCTATACAGGTTCTGTATCTTCAGATACTGGTAAAAGAGGGATGTGCAATTGACAAATTTTGCTAGGTTTTTTGCAGTGGTGCTCTTTGTGCATCTTAAGTGGTTGAGATAATTGACTAAATCATGTAATGGCATATTTAACACAGAAATATTTTGATAGGTCAATTGCTAAGAGAAACAGTGAAAATACCTATTAGAGGACAGAATTTGTTTTAAAATAATGTTAACTTTTGTAGGGACAGTTTCTGAATTTTACCCCTCACTTAAGCTTGCTTACTTCTATTGTGTTCTTTACCAGAATATTTTTTTTTTTTTTTCTGGAAAGCAAGTAGAACATGTTTGGATGGGGTTTTAATATTTTTTCCTTTTATTTTGACTATAATATACATTCATATCCTTTTTGCTTTGCCCCTGCATTTTCTCTGATTTAATTTGTGGAATACTTAGATCTTCTTTTACATTTGCTTCAGGCCAGACTATCTGTAATGGTTTTATGTATATAGATATCTTCTGTCTTTGCTTTTGTGGGTGGAATTAGTTCATGTCCCTAATACAGCCAAAAATGTCCATGCCCTAAATTAATATGTGTTGTCAGAGATGATTATTTTCGCTAGTCCAGACGGGTAAAACTTTCAGAAGAAAATAGCACCCTTTGTTAAACTGACTCATGTAGCTGGAAAAGAATCAGACTCGTAGTAGGAGGCACAGTCCTAGAACACCTGCCTTTCTATTCTTTTCAGTCCTCTGGAATTGCAGTATCATTAAATATGTCATTCTTTCTGCATTGTCATTCAGGATGAGTGTGAGGGCTTAATGTTTTTGTAAACCCAGTTCTTTGTTTTTGGAAGTCATGAAGTGAAACTAGGTAAGAATGTTTGCCTTAATTTGGAATTCTTACCATCTGGCAGTAGCTTCAAGAAAGATACTGGTTCAGTTGGTTTTGAGAGACAGCTTTGCTCCTGGGAGCAGTGGGGGAAAAAATATTGGAGAGTTTTTTTCCATGTCCCAAACTTTCTCTTCTGTTCCGTGTGTAGTGAAAGGCATGACTATTTCTTCTGTCACCCTGCTGTGTTCAGGAACTAGTATTAAATCATACAGATTAGGAGGAAGACTTGCTCTCCATCCACTGCTGTGTGCTAATGATTACAGCATGCCTTCATTGTCCTTTTTCACTTACCCAGTTTTAACTAGAACATATTTTGGTATTTTGTGTTTGGCAATACAGTAATTCTCAAAATGTGTCAATAAGCTTTTTTTTTTTTTCTACAAATCAAGTAAATCAAGTATATATGTATTTTTTAATTAAACTTCTTTAATATCTCTAACAGGAGCAGTGAAGACACCAAAATTTAAGCCTGATCCAAAACTTATGGACCATGGTCAGTCCAGCCCAGAAGATGTGGATATGTACAGTACTAGAAGCTAAGACAAATCTGCTTACAAATCTTTGTAAAGTATTACAGATAAGGGGGAGGGAAGAAGGGAAGGAGTAATTCTTACAATACATACTCTGTGAGCTATAATTTAATCAGGTATTTTCTTATATCCCAATTTGTATTATTGACTTACATGATTCTGTTCAGTGAATATTTTGTTTATCGCTACTTATAAGTGGTGAGAATTACTCATTGTCCATGTCATTAGTGAGACACTGAGAAAATGTCAGTGTCTTCTCACAAAGAGTTTTCTCTTGTGCCAAGCTTGTTAATAAATGTCACTTCACAAAGGATATTTGAAAATGTAAACATATCTCTATACTTCGGCTCAGATGTTCATTGATCTGAAAGAAGAATGTGGTGGACGGTGTTTGCAGAGGCTTCTTTTGTCTTTTTTCTTGCACCTTTGGAATGAAGTGCAATTTCTTATTGGTCTTGAGTACCCTTAAAGAGTCAGTTGTTATATCATACGAATAGCATCATCTTCACTGCTTGTATAAACAAGTCACTTGTTCACAAAGGTGAATGGGAACAACTTCTTGTCCTGCATGCTTCTTGTATATTAAAATGTCACTTAAATTGGGAAAAAATGCACACATAATTTCTAAATCATCCTTTATAGGCTATGTATTAGTTTTCACCAACTCCTGATACCTTGAAGAACTGTATGCAAGTCTATGAAACTGATACTGTTTGAATTTATATTGAATGCATTAGCAATCTTGAGGAAGCTGGAAACTTTCTGTAGTTTTCAGGTTTGAAGTGCTGACAAGTATTAAAAATGCAGAAGTAATAAGCAGACAACTTTTTCTTCCCAGAAGTTTGTATGCAGTACCCATTGATCTTGGTAGGATATCTGTGAAATTCTGTATTTTTCCATAACAATGGAATTGGAAATGGATTAAGTTTCCTAGGATGAAACTTTCAAACTCTGCTTTTTTCTTTGTGTAAATCACTCTACTTCTGGTCATCTTCCGTTTCTCTTTAAAACACTTTTATAAGGGTTTGAATAGATCTAGTGGTCTTCCTCTGACTGAGTGCAACTCATTATCAGTACCCAATGATAATGAGCCTGCTGCCTTGAGGTAGTCTCATCTTTATCTGCTGTGGCAGTTTTCCTAGTATAAACTGCAAGAAGGACACTGTGCTGGTAGTTTGTCCTTCGATCTGTTAAAATCTCTTATTGTTCCATTAATGAAAATATGTGCTTTGTTGTAAAGTTGAAGGGGTGGTGCAAGAACAAACTGTACAAACAGATAGTTTGGTTGGAAGACTTAAACCTGAAAAGAAATCCTGCTTCATATGAGTGGATTCTTGGCACCAGGATATGAAGGGATATTTGCTCCTGCTCTCCATGAGAAGAGATTCCACAACCTGATTCCTTTTTCCACGGATACTAATGCAAATGACTCGTGCAATACAGGCAAACAGTAGTCCTAGTGTCACTGTGGGACTAGCAGAAGTTGTGAGGAGATACTGCACGATGGGATGTGCACGAGGCACAAATGAATGAGCGAAAGAATAAGTAAGGCTTTTCTGATGGTTCAGAAACAGATAAGTATTGAGATTTCTGAAATCCAGATTTCAGGCAAAGTGTTGGACTTCGTTATATAGAGTCCAATGGAAGGTGAAGTCAGTAAATATGAAGTGTAAAGAGAAGGAATTCTCTTAGTTAGACTTGCTTGGGATGGCTGACTTAGAATTAAATGTATTTTGTTTCTTTATTCATCTCTTAAGGCCCAGGAAACTCAGAAATCAGGCAGCAATCAGAGCATATTAAATCAATTTTCACACAGCTCCTGGACAAGACACATTTAGTGTTCCATCACAGAGAGAGGAGTAGAAAAATTAGATATCTTGGCTACATATACCATTTCCAGGGAAACAGGTGAAGACATAAGGCAGGAAGTGAACACAAGGAAGAAATGATTTTCAAATGCAAGACTGGATGGCAGAAATGGTATTATCTATCTCCCTTTGATCAGATTCTGGATTAAAAAAAAACATAGAGGAAAAAACATCTGCTCTACTCTTAGATTACATTTAAATTCTAACTCGTGTCCTTTGAGTGATACACTACCACAAGTCAATGAGAAAGGTAAGATGATGGTGGTTTGCATGGATTTTTTAGGGGTTAACTGTGGTGATGTTTTTCAGCACATGGAAAGCTTTGCACAGGAGTTAGTCTTCTGGGAGCAGAGAGAGAAGCTGCCGTGGATGGCTGTTAAGGAACAAGGATGTCTGCCCTTACCAGGCAAGAGTGGGCCTGAAGACAGACACCTCTACACGCAGTGCCAAAAGCTGGTCTGGTCCTTTCCATACTTGTAAGGGCATCACTACTCAAATCTCATGATACAAATGAAAGTGTCTGGTCTGCAAAAGGTACGTTGCCCTCCTTGGTGGTTAGGCAGTCAGGAATTAGAAGTTTCATGCAAGCAGTTTGTATTACAACCCCTGATTTTACAAGCAGTTTGTGCTGTAAATGGACATGATACGCAAAGGCATCCTTAAGGGCATTTCAGTCTCAGATTACTCCTTAGGGCAAAATTGTAATAGAAATGTACCTCAGGGTTAAATCACTATTCGGAAGTCTTAGATAAGTTTTCTAGGACATAATTTAAAATTACTGCTCCTACCCACTTTAATGAAGGAACAGTATGAGGAGTACAGTTCTGGAGCTCAAAGTGGTATCCTTGTGCTGTGTCATTTCTTCTGGTGGACGAGAGGAGTAAGCACAGATTTATTCCAGTACAGGATTTGCCTACTACCCTCACTTTTTAGCTTAGTTTTTTTGCCAGTTGAGATTTGTGTTTCTCATTCTTCTCTACAAGATAGGGTAACTTTTTGTTTGTTTTCTATTGACAGCTTTAACAGCTTTTGTTTAATATCTCCACAGTTTAAAAGCTGCAACTAAAATTAGAGGCTTGGGTTTTGGCACTGAAACAGATACAGCTAAAGACAATTGTTTCCCTATCTGCAGCCAAAGAAAATGAGACAAAGTATGAAAAGTTTTGTATCCTGTCTGGGTGTGTTCTCTGCTTTCAGAAATATGATAGTCAATCTCTCAGTTAGTATTTCTCTGTCCTGGAGCATAAATGCATTAGTAGTGGGAAGGAATTTTTTATTAAAACCTGGAATATGATCTATTATGATAGATCTTTGCTAACATAAACTTCTGATAAAGTCAGTCATCGTCTTGTCCACCGATCTGAGACATGTGATGAGAGAAATTTCTAGAGGTACTAAAAAAGATGCAGGTTGTTACAGAGAAGTTTGTAATGTATTTGCTGAAATGAAGGCAGTCCCGGTCAGATTACTAATCAGCTCTTGCACAAATATTGGAATGGTGACTGAATCCTTGTTACTCAGCTGACATTTTGTGAAGTGTTTCTTGTCAAATCTAAAAAGGTGCCTGACCTCTTCAGTTCAGACATCTGAACCTCTGTGTTTTATATAATGCTTTACATATAGCTTGTTCCAGATAAGGGAAAGGAACTGTATCTCTATTAATAATTCTAGTAAAGGTGCTATGCAATGGCTTTAAAAAAAGCAAATTCAAGTCTACATTGCGCCATGCTTGTGAGTCCTCATTTTAAACATGTGTGCCTGGCTTGATCTCTTCAAGATTTCAGACCCAAGTGCAAACTTGTTAAACAATGAAAAATTAAAGTAAGTACACAAGAAAAGTGGCATTGCAAGATGTGGTTTTATTAATTTATTGTAAAACACTTGGAAATGTCTCTCACATGTATCACTATTAGCCACTTAAAGTTTCTTTCATAATGCAATAATACAGTAAATAATAAAAGTAAGAATGTATACTGTAACTTTTATATGATATAAGTTATATATTTGTGAAAAATCCAATGTCTTAAGGATCTGGGTCACATAATGATATTTTATAATATAGAAATAGTTTTATTTAATGCATGTTTTTTATTTATGATTGATTGTACTCGATATAGAGAGATTTTGAATTTGTCGATATTAATTTTTTATTTACATAAAACTGATTGTGATACTTTATTTTGTCATATCGTTGTGAAGCACCTGAAAATAAAGGGTGATAAGATACTTTTAAAAAAAGTTAGTTGGACTTTTGTATACTGTCTCATTTGTAGGGCAAATTTTCAGTTTCATTTCTCTAAAGTACATTTTAAAACTCACTGTCACACCTGTTTCACTTGTGTTGGGGGGAAAAAACTTCACCCCTGAAGTACTGAAACATACATTCCTGGAAGAAATTGTCGAAGTAACATGCAGGACATACTAATGCTCAGTATTCAGTTATTTTATGTGTCTTAAATTTTGAGAAGTGCTTCCACTTTCTTTTCTTGGTAATTTCTTCTAAAGAATACTGTAGCTCACAACTTGGGAAAAAGACTATTTTCATCCATACTGGAGGAGTGACACATACTGTTACAAGAATGAGGCAGATAGCAAATATATTTACTTCGGTATGGCTCCTTTATAATCTTCAAGGTGAAGTAATTTGCCAATCCAAGGGTCATAAATAATGTAATACATGATGTAACCTACAGTGTAACTACTTAAAAGGAGAAAAATTGCATGAATAAGTAAGGTAGCTATTTTAATGGCAGATTATCATCATGATTCTCAAATAACTTAGGAAATACTGTAAAGAAATACATACTGGTGGTAAGCTACAGTCAAGAAAGACTAATTGGAACTGTTCCAGAAGTTGCCATTTTATTTATATTACCACAGTATTGACGTGCTCTTCTTGTAGACCAGCACAAGTGTACAAACCAAACTGAAATGCTGAAGAGAAGGAGATCTCAAAGTTGTAAATCTTGTTGTTACATTCTTTTTTTTTATTTGAAGAAACTTCTTTATGTTCTAAAGTCTAATGGCCTGATCTATTTTGTGTTGCAAAACCTGAATATATTGGTGCTAACAAGTTGTAGAAGAAGTGAAAAGAGAGGGAAATGCAAGTTTCATCACTGACTCGGAAGTGGTGACAGGGGCATACAGCTGGTAATTATGAGTTTACTGCGGGGCAGAGTCAGAACATTATTCAAGGTGCAATTAGTTCTTTGCCCTTTTGTTTATGGGTTGTAGGAGATTGCTCTTACAGAAACAATTGAAATGAATTTTTTGTTTCCCTTGCTGTGGCCTGGTAATAGATCCAAACTTAGGTTATCCTGGGTTTAAGTGTTGATAACTGTTTTTTTTGTTCTTTATTTGTAGCAGTCCTAATATCAATATTTAAGAAATACGTAGCTTGCTGTTTGTGCCTCCCTCAGAAGCTCTGCAACACAACAGTAGTAGAAAGAGTTCTCTAAAGCCATCTTGAAGCAGATGTGAAAGGTAATGAGGAGTTGGTCAGCTTCCACCATTAATTTTGGTCAGTAACTTGTTTTAGTTATAGCTCTCTACTTGAGGAAATAAAATTGTTCTAGCTGTAGTCTACCTAGACTGTAGTTGTAGAATGTGTAGATTTGCACTTGATTTTGTTGTGTTCCAGAAACTAAGACAATTAAGGTAAATAAATGGGTATGCTGTGAAATACAAAGCTAACAGCTGTTTAGGCCTATTGGTATTGATTTTATTTGTTGTTACCTAAGTAGGCACTAAAAAGAGAAACCTACTGACTGCCTCTGCAGCCCTTCCCTGAGGCCAAGTCCAAACCTGTTGCATTCAATAAAATGGCAACAATATAAGACAAGGTTAATAGATTGGGTTTTGTAATCTGCTTCATTAGAACAGCTCACCTGAGTAAAACCTGCAAATTACATTTATGCATCTTTATCTCGATTTCTCAATGAAATTTAAAAGCTGTAGGTAAAGGCGTTCTGTGTGTAACACAACCTTGAAGTACCAACATTCAGCAGCTGGAACCAGAGGGGAAATTCCGTGTCAGCTACAGGAACAAAGCAAATGTATGAACTGGTACTTCACTCTTCTGCCTTACAACTGAAGAAGAACAACACAATTTTTTTTTACTGAGGTATACGTTAATTTTTCTGTTCTTGTGGATGTGATTCTGGGATCTCTTGCAAAGCGATCTGGCAGGGCTAAGAATCAGTCTTTTCGTTATCGTCTGCTGTAAAATTAAGTGCTGTTGGGCTTTCAGCCAAAGCAGTATTCTTCCAAGAATTTGCTAGGCATTGATGTTTACAGATCATTATTTATCCTTTGAGGAGTAAAGGTTAAAGTTTACCTTTCACTGTTAATGTAATTGCGTTTGACATGTTCTCATAAGCAGCTATCTCCTGTCAAATAAAGAAATCTATGTTGGGATTTTATCAGTTATGGAGAAGTTTTGAGGGCACCATCCTACAAAGCAATGCTTGTGCTAACTTAAGCTTCAGTACAGTTAATCTTTTACAGACTTTGGGTGTATCCCCATTTCTTCCTCTGTAGTTCCTCAGGATGACAAATTATTCACATAGAGGCTGTCACATATTCAGGGTCTTGTGCAGTGAAAGTTGAGAATTTTTTTAGGACTTTTTAAATAATAAAAAGGCAAGCTGACAGTTTGATGGTGTGCTAAAGTGTCAATTTTTGTTGCCATTCATCCTTGCCAGAGTGCTATTTTCTATTTTTTCTCAGAAAGGAAACATGATTGCCAAAGAGAAAAGTTAACCAACAAACTGTAATGGTAGATTCATACGATTACAGGATTGCTTCCTAGCTGCTGTCCCATCCCTCTTAGTCAGCTTCAGAACCAGCGTGCCCCGCTCACCTTCCTGAGACTGCATTCAGTCTCAGACAAAATGATGGAGAAGACCTTCTTTTCCTTTCTCCCATTTGTAACTTGGTTTGCAAGTTGGATCAGGCTGATGGATCAGAGTACATGTAGCAGCTGAGGCTACCTCCCTCCCCCAGACAGAGTCTTATGAGTTTTTATTCTTCCTGTACCCTACCACATTCCGCCTCAGTTCAAAGGCTTCCTGCCTCATGTTTTAATGGTCTAAAATGTATTAAGTGTTCATTCCACAGTGTGCCTTACCAAACTCTTGATGTCTACTTTACTCATAGCTTTATAGAAGTACCACAGGAAATAAATAATAGAAAATACTTTAATAATGTAAGATATTAAATAATAGAGATTTGGTGTTCAGCACTTTGTGTAGATCTCTGTTTCTCCCTTGTACTCTCTTCTCTCATAGTTTCTGAAGTCACTGACGTGGAGGAATAGGCTTGTATCAACACTTGCAAAACAGTGGTTGTGTAAGGAGTAAAAAAGCAGCAGGAGTTTCCTTTGTAGGAGTTAAGTAAATGGAGAAATACTGTGATGCCAGTCATCCACAGGTAAACTTGCATAGATGCTTTTATAATGGAAAAACAATTCAGCAATGTGAGCCTATAAAACAGTCTATAAAACATATCTGGGAGGTCTTGAGGGCGGATGAGCTCTGAAATTGAATAAACATTTGAGGGAAGAAAGCCCTAACAAATACCCAGAAGAGATGAAGAATAGCAAAGAAATGCTGCTGTTGTGGCACTTGCTGTTTTGTGTTTCCTTTTGATCTAAGACTAACGATAGTGTGCACATTCCCTTCATATGGATTTTCCTCATATTTGGTGCCACTTTAGAGCTGTTGCAACTGAATACAGGATATAGAGTAATTGGATAAAAAAATTCCTGTCTGTAGCTGTATTTGTTAAACTCCTCCTTCCCTCGAGGGGTTTTGCACTCTAGGTAGATGTACTTCATTTGTAAAAGTAAGTAGTTTACTTATTTTGCATTAATTGGTAATACTTAAATAAGGGGTTTTTTTCTTCACTGACCAAAATAATACTACATAATACTTTAAAGGGGTTAACTTTGATTAATTGAGGCAATCAGTGGGCTGTTGATACAATCCTCTGACACCAATGGTTGTATTTGGAATCTTTTCTGTTTGTGGTACGAACTATTGTAAATAACTTAATTAGCTATCACTACTGTATTAATAATGCTTGCTATGATGAGTTTGAGTAAAGCAGGTTTTAAGTCTATCATTCTTGACTGAGCCAAGACCAAAATGACAGTTCAGAACGTGGTGAGTTTAAATTACAAAACCCTTTACTGTGGAGTTAGATGTCTATATGTTGTAGTATTTTGATGGAAAGAACTTCCAAGGAGAGTGATAAAAGAATGCCTTTATAGTTTCATCTTTGTCAAGTCCCAGGGAAACAGAATAGCCAGGAAGTGTTGATGCAGAAAACAGCTGTTACTACAAAGCAGGCCAATTTCTCTGCTATTACACAAAACTACTCACAAATACTCTTATTCACAGCCTACATACGACTACTTAGTGATTTAGATCTCACGTAGAGGTATCGCATATAAATAGTAGCATTGTCAACTAAAAAAAAAATAGCATAGAAGAGTGTGCAACTACTTTTACATAACACAGTTCCAACACCAAATATTTGTTTTAGTGGATTGTGTTTATGTATCTTGATCTACAGTTTATAATATGCATGCTGTATGTGAAGCTTTAGAAACCAAATGTAGTGGAGGTCAGCAAAACAATCTTTATCATGCCAGCTGAGTACAGTTTCCTGTGTTATATATTCTGGTGTTTTTCTCTATTTATTTTCCATTCAAAAGTCTAACAGAGCTTTTATTATCTCTTTAGAAGATTGTTGCAAGTTATGGATCAGAAAATCGTGGGTTTCAGAAGTAAGAAGAGATTGATTACTGTGAACATCAGGACGTTTCCTTTTTTTAATTTAGCTATCTTAATTCATGCCAGTATTTACACATAAAAACCAGCATTTTATGGGTTGAGAGAAGTTTTTCTACTTAAGAGTTTGCCAAGACACAGCTTTCTAATATAGATAGAGGAAGTCTGCATTGAAGAGCAGTCTGAGATGATTTAGATGTCATCCTAAACTATGTTTACATTTTGATAGCTATCTACATGTTATTTGCTTATTTTTCCTTGATACAGTTACTTGCACTTGGATTGTTGGTACTTCTGGACCAAAAAAGAGAACTTGAGAAGATTAAAAGTATCACAGATCACAGAGAGGAGGACAGTCAAGGAGGAAAGGTGGGAAACAACAGCATGAAGGACTCATGGAGGAAATGGATACCAACTGGGGTAGGTGCAAAGGGGAAATAAATTGGCAGTATGAAAAGAAGCCTTGGATTGCAATGTGGGAGCTGTGAGCACATCTTAGATTCCTAACAAACATTGTGGATTGTTTTAACAGCATAAATGACAACAAAATACTTCAGCAGTATGTGCTAGAATATCCTGAGCTCCTTGTCCACTGAGCTTTAACTTACGAATTACCTTCTCCAAAAGATAATAAGGTATATTCATTAATGTGGGTGTTTGGATATTTTGCCTTTAAGTTGTGTTTTAATCTGAGGGGAAAGCATGCTATGAAGAAAGTTTTTGTTTCACTTCCAGATGTACTAAATTGAGCTGTTGTGATTGGGACAGAATCTGGTGCACTTATTTGCAGAGAATGGACGTCTTTTTACCTTCATATATGCAGATAAAAATACCTAAATAAAGCTGCAGTTTGAACTGAAATAAATCTCAGTGTAATTCCACATTTGCAAAAAGAAAACAGATTTAGAGTAATTGAGACGGTGTAAGTATTCATGTCTATTCGGTATAGAAATTTTTGGTTTAATTTCCTTGTAGAATCTGATTTGAAAATGCTAAATACGTGTGGCAGTAATGAGAAGGCATTTGTCTGATATTTCATGCCAAACTATGGGAGAAGGTTTGGTAAAATAATGAGATTGGGTATTAGGAAATGATGAAAAATTCAAGCAGATTGCAACCATGGTTTGTAATCAAACAGACTGGGAGTTGAAGGAAGAGGTGTCAGCAACGTACTATGTGCTGCAGCTGTGCCTAACAATTGGAGCAGCAATAATTATTGCAGCAAAACTTCATTTTTTCTAGGAGCAGAAAAATCGTAAGACCAGCCTGATAATAACCTTTTAATCATAACTTTTATATTCTTGATCCAGGTCATAGACATGTCTTTAAAACCAGAGTATATCTATGGAACTTAGTCGTCTAATACATTCAAAGTTCTTTAACTTTAAAACGTAGCATAATCCTAAAAGGATGACAGATAAACATGTGACAGATACATTAGGGTGTTGAAACTTAAGTTCTTAAAGGAATACTTTACGTACATTTTCAAAAATTCAGAAATAGCAAGATTACTGAGACAATTTTATGGAACTACCCACTTGTCATAAAAGAAAATGTACTGGAGAAGTTATCAGGAAGTTGTATCTGTTAAAGTTAATTAGTAATTCTTTATAGAGAAGGATGCTGTAAACAAGCTCAAAATCCACGATCCTTGACTTGCTACGGTAGCAGTAGCAGAAAGGAGAGTGCATTCTGCTGCTCGCAAACTCTGGAAGAAAGAGTCTTCTACTGCAATGGACTTCAGGATGCCCATTCTTAAAGTCTTGCTTTTCGTTCTGTTCATGGCCAGTGATTCGCTGAGTGCACGTAAGACATTTAATCTCTTATTCTGTTCTTCTGTACATGAAAGTTTGCAACCGTATGAATTGCAACTGAAATACTAGGTGTTCTGGTGGGTTTGACTCATTTTGAATCAATTTGTCAATGACAAAAGGATGCATTTTAAATGAGAGATGATTCAGTTCTTTTTCAGTAGGAAGATTAACCCACTATAGGGGTTAAAAAATTATATCTTCTTTTTATAGCAAGTATTTTTAGAAAAATTTTGGAAGAGGAACAGGGAGGAAATAATCAGCAATTAAGAGCATGTCAACCAGAATGCATTGAAAAAAAGGTTCTTTTAAATGAGGAGGTAAGCGTCTCTGGTTCTGTTAGAGTATACAGTATTGGTCAAGAATTTTTTTCTTAATGGGAAGATTCCCTACAGATTGATTTTATTTATTATTGTTACTACTGTTCTTTACCTAGTAGCTACAAGTTACTAGTAATTAGGTATCACTAACCTGATAGTGGTGTAAACCAGCTGCAGTTACTCTTTTTCTAATACAGTTTTGATTTGTGATTTGAGGAAATTTTTTTATCTACTTTAGCTTATAAGTTGCCAAAAAAAGTTGCCACTTCATGGAAAACTTTGCATTTGTACAGACTGCGGTACTATGAAAGGCTCAGCAGTGGGTTCTGTAATGACATGGAATATTACAGCATTAATATCAAAGGGTACATGCTCGCTCGCTCTCCAGCAGAATCACAGCTAGTTACTTTCTTCTACTTCTTTAGTAGTTTTTGTAATATTGCTAAAAGAATTGTCATTCTGTTACTGATCATAGGGGTAGCTAAACAACATTAGTGCTGCTTATCTCCCAGATAATATGATGCCAAATAATACAAGGGATTTTTCAGTGTTCTGTACTTTGTAGTCATAACATATGACCTATATTTAGGTTGTCTTGGAAAATGCTTCAATGCTGATGTCCTCTTGAGAGAAAGGAACGCAATATATGTAAATAGATTTATACAAATGCAAGCCTTGGTCACTGTGTAACCACTTAGATTTATGTCTGACTAACAGTAAACGTTGGGTTAGATTGTCTCCAGCAGTGGGGAGGAAGAAGGCTTCCATCTTTTTTTGAAATAAAGACTGCTGACTAAAGCATAGTTTCCCTGGCTAATAATGCATCAGTCATGACTTTGCTAATCCACCAGGTCAAGGTGTAAAATCCCTCTTTCAATAGCGAAACAGTAACATTAACAATGCTCTGATGCTGCTTTCTTCTTATCGGTTGCCAAGTAGGCTCAGAAGGATCTGCTCAGAGGTCTCTTCCGCTTCTGACTTTCTGGCTTCATTCTAAATGTGTATCTTCTCATTGTGAAAAGTTATGTAAAACTATATTTGGCTGTATTGACTGTTTTGGGCTCTTTTGAGTATCATAATTGTGCTTGGCCTTGCAATGTATGGCACCATTTTTAATTTCCTCTCTCAGCATCTCCAGTGTCTTGCAATTGCGTGTTTGATTATACGTTGTAGATCAAGATTGCTGGTACATCTCCGTAAATCTCAGACTTTAGTGGCTTTGGGTCAGCTTGTAGATTGCTGGTAGGAACAAGGAGTACAGCGTTTGGACCGAGAGGAAAGAAGCAGGTAGCAAAGAATGTAGGGTTTGAGTGCCCAACATGGTGACTTCTGATGTCTCATTAAGGTTGCTGATGAGGAAGTTGTAAGCCTGTGAAGTACTGTAAGCAGCACTCAATTTCTGGGACATAATATACAGCCTGCCATGTTTACACAGTAAAAGAAATGGAGAAGAACCAACGTTAATGCAAAACGAATCCTTTTGTAGACCAAAATAAGGAATAATCCCAGTGCAAAACACACAAAAAGGTCTGAATTTTAATTAGAATTTGAGAATTTGAGTCTCAAATGGCTTTAATGATTTTTATCCTTTGTTAGCAGACCAGAGAGGATACGTAGTGGAATTCAGACACAACCACACATCATAATAATATAAGGCATACAATTTACTGGCTAACTAGAAGATGGGTTCAAATTCTGAGTAAAGTAATACAAGCAGGCAAGCCTTCATTTTTCAAATAATTTCAAAATTTTGAAGGGGCCAGTCACTGGAAAGCAAGATTTAGTATTGTCTGCAAAGTACATCATATGCAGCTCAAATTTCTGATGTAATTAGAAATACAGCCCACTAACAGTATGTTACTGTATAATTGAATTAAATAAATATTTGCTTTGTTTTAACTTACAGCCAACTGCACTGGAGTTAAGGACTTCAGAGACTGCTTGGGTGATCCACAAAACTTCTGTCCTGTCAATATTTCTTGTCAATGTAAAAATGAAAAGCCTTTTTGCAGGTAGGGTGTGGGGTGGGTTGGTTGGTTGGTTTGTGTAAATATATGCTATATAAATGCAGCTTGTCAAATATATTATTAATGATGAAATAAATTTAGACCCTGCAATGCAATCCATGAAAGTAGATGTTGATCTCCATTCACAATCTGCATAAGCTCATAACTCTGCTACAAAGCATCAAATCTGGGATCTGAGAGCAGCATTTTCTTTTTTAGAATATGTGTAGGCAATGTAGTTAATAAGTTAGGTAGTCACTATAATCTTCAATTTTTACATGCTCGCTGTTGTCTCAGGTATTTTTCTTTAGAACTGAATTATGCTGTGTAATGGCAATTTGTTCCCAGGTTGATCAAAATTTCTTTAATGCTTAAAAAAAAAAAAAAGATATAGCTTAATATTCTGTTTTACAGTACACATTTATGGTTTTTTTCCTTGTTTTAAAAAAAAATCTAGTCATCTCAGTAGAAAATCTTGTTACTGTACCTAGCATATTTGGTTTTTACATACAGCTTGACCCTTAGACTGGTTGACGCAGAGCCTAGCAGAGTGCATTTGCACTCTAGAATAAGATGTGTACTGCTAAGATAATTAGCATCTTTAGATAAGCAGGAAAAATATTGAATATTTGAGTATTCAATGATAAAAATTTATATAGCTAAATATTTTTCTTTTTTGGTATTATTTACTTTTAAATAATGTTGGTAAAAATTAATATTTTTATTTGCAGATGTGATTACTACAGAATCGATTGGCAGGATTATTGGTACATGGGTCCCAAATGTAACCACCTTTGGAACACTTTAGATTTTATTTTAGTAACTGTTATTCCTCCAGTAGCACTGGTTATCATACTTACTATAATATTTTTCAGTATCTACGCCTGTAGAAGTGAAAAACCTGTGTAAGTTACTCTGGATGAAGTTAAAAGGGGTTTTTATAATCAAAATGGAAGTAAAGCAAAAGAAGTCTGGTATTCTGATTAATTTTTAACCTCTGGATATTTAAATCAACAAGCATGCCGTAAAGCACCCTCTGTCAAAATGTTGTTTACACAATTTAAAACTAAATCAAAGCATCTTACCAGAGCACTTAACAGTGATTCAGCATTTTACTGCTGTGCACAGATCTTTCACTCTTCTGTGGGGCTAACCAGGCAACCTTTAAAGATTAGTAAGTACATTTACTACTTTAACTCAAGACTACCAAATCTGTCTTGCTGATTTATTTGCTATTAAGGGTTGGCTTGCTTTCTGTAGTTTAAAAAAAAAAATTAAGACCAATAAGCAGTGACAAGAGTTTTGGTGAATAAACACAGTTTCTCACAGTCTTCTGTCCTGGGCATTGACAATTTGAGCTGCTTCTTGATTTTTTCCCCCCGATAAATGTCCCAAGTACATAGAGAGTATGTGGGGTTTTTTTCTTCTTTCATTGAGCCCCATTAGTGTGTATCACCAGTACTTCCTCTGTCACGGAAAAATTGTAATAATACATAGCTCTGGCATAGTCATTGCCACAGTACATCTAAACCTGTGATGTGGCTGTTTAATAAATCTGTAGTACAAAAAGATTCAAGACCCTCAGAACTATTGCTAAATGCTCTAAATCCATATTGTTCCCCTCAACCAGGAAGCAGACCAATGCTCCAGGCCTCCAGACCCCACAACATAACCCTGCATTTACTGCTGAAATGGCTGATAACATGGAGCATGGTTATCCGCAGTCGCCAAGGGTAAGAGATGGTGTGTGGGGCAAATTACGTGTTCCTAATGCTAGTGGAAGTCAGACGTAATTTTGTGATTCAATAGAATGGTGTATTCATAGCAAGTGAGGTCATCTGGTAAAATTCAAGGTAAACTGAGTTTGATTTTTTTATTATTTGACTGGTATTTCATTTCCAAGATCATGTAAATGCATGTGAGAAGGTGAAACTCTTCATCAAGGATGAAGTGAATCTAATTTGTATAGGAGAAAACAAAGAAGTAGGGATTATTTTAAGAGAATGTTCAAATAAATATCTCCTTTTAAGCCAGTTAGAAGACTAGTATTAAGGAGAGAGATAATTTGAGTATGAGCTCAAACCAAATGCTACAAATCCAGAGAGAAGAGTTGGTATACTGTCCAGACTTCAACCAATTTAAACTGCTGAAGAGCCATGTCTGCGGTTTAAATTGACTGTTTACTAGTTATATTTCATCACAGGCTATTTGTCTTTAAGGTTTTCTTGCTTTTATGAGGATTATCAACAAGATTCCATGAGGATTTGAGTAGTGTTCATGTAAGAATAGGTAAAAGGCAGTGCTAGTGATGTGACACGTTGCTGATGATACCATAATACTCAGAGTAGTCAAAACCAGGCCTTACTATGAAGAAGTACAGAAGGAGCATATAATAATGATTGACTGGACAAGAAAATGACAAATTAAATTTATTGTTTATAAATGCAAGGAATATATGCACATAGAAAAGCAGTTTTAACTTTGTGTAGATGGTAATCATCTCTAAATAAAAAATCAGAACTCAGAAGGGACATCTAGAGCAATGTTTTCTGAAAAAGTTTGTTTGCTAGGGATTTTAGGAAGAAACTGAAAACAATATGAGGAACATTGTAATACCAGTGTGCAAATCTTAATTATGCCTGTATTTGACTACTGAATGTAATTTTGAGCCCCCATCTCAGCAAGCAATAGTACATCTAGAATTTCAGGATCGTCAATACTGATTTCTGTATGAGGAGAGGTTGTGAGAGAAATGACCGTTCCCTGCTTTTAGTGTAAGAACTTGGCAATGTCAAATGAAATCAGACAGAATTTCTAAACCAAAAAAAAAAAGTGCTTTTTGATAAAATGCATAATCCAGCAGTATGTAATCATAGTGTAAATTAGTTTTTAAAAAATCGGAGGTGTTCAGGGAGGCGGAGGTGTTCAGATAGGGTGTGTGCTTTTGGGTAGGTAACATCCTGCTTGTTCCACTTGTGGTGCTGCGGTTCACATCTCAGAGCAACCTGGAAGTGCACAAACTGATTCCCCTTCAGATTAAAGTAACCAGAGTATGTGCTTCAGTCCCTGATGAACAGTCGGTGCCCAGGCCAAAAAGCAAACCCTTCTGATGTGCTTGAAGTGTCAATGTGGGGTCCCACATATCAGTCCCCTCTGTTTGTTCCTGTGAATGTAGCCACAGACTCTACTCCAGCTTAGTCAATTCATGACATTGATGTATTGATGGTACTCAAGTTATTTAACACTGTTGGCATATATTTCCCTTATGCTTCCATTACTGGCTCTTCTTGATGTGTTAGGTGGCCTGACTCGGTCTCTTCCTATATTCTATTTCTATACATGCAAAAGTAAATTTTGCAAGTACAAGATGTGGCAGGGTGCAGGTAGGCCTAGTAAAGATTTGATCTTTATTGTTCATTTCAGAGACAAGAAATCAGGCTTATTTTTGTAATGAAGATGTACATGGTCCTCAGCTGGTGCAGAGCAGCATAATTGCACAACTCAGTTGAGACAAACCAGGTGGTACAGCTGAGAATCTGACCATTGGTGAATGAACACCACAGTGTTCTGCAGGCCCAGCGTCTTAAGATTAAAACTTGGTGAAAATTAGAAATGTTTGTTTCGAATACATTTTATTCAATTGGAAGAGGAATGAAAATGAATGAAATGGGTTAAACTGCAATAATGTGACCCTTCTTTCATGTTGTGAGCGATGCCTTCCAAGGACATTTTTGGAGGCAAGGGATGGATCAGCGTAGATTATCAGAAGGATATGGCTGTACCAAATGTATTGTTTGTCTTTGCTATCTCTCAGCTGCGTATTCTAGGAATGATAGTACATAATTGCTTGTAGTACATTGTTGGCAGGGTTCTGGCCATATTTGTTTAAAATTTATTGCCTGAAACTGAGTTAGGTTTAGGGTAAGAATATTTAACCATTTCCTAGTGTATTATTTTTTTTCTAGAAAGGAGAAACTCACTAAATCAAATCTGAAATTAAATTACCTGCACCACCTTTGTAACACTGGGACCTTTGCAACATTGCTGTGAGATAAATAGACAGTGTCATTTACGGGATTACAAAGATAATCTGTGGCAGAGCAGGGATTTGAACTTTGGTCCCCAAAGGGTCAGGCGCTGCCTTTTCGGCTGGGCTGACCCTCTGCTGTGCCTGTTTTCTCCACTGGGCAACATGTCCTTTAAAGCAGAGATCATCGGGTGAACTAGTGAGTGTCACAAGAAAAGATGGATAAATTCATTTCAAAACCAGAAGGGGAAATGGGAAATAATGGGAAATATAAAGAAATGCAAAAGGGTTGTCTGTGTGGATTCATTTCCTCCTTCGATACTTAAAGTGATTATTTTACATATCTAAGGAATGTGCTGTGTCTAAGAAGACGACGTACGGTGTGTGAGAAGATGACGTAGGCTGTTGGAGAAGAGAAAGAAAATAATATAGTCTGATATATTACTTCCTGTTAAATATATTTGTAAGGTATTGATACTGTGGAAATGCAGTGGTGAAAAAAAAAAAAAAAAAGGCGTGAGCCTATTTTCACCAGGAGATGGTGCTGTTTAATTTTTAACTAATTCTGAATTTCATTCAACTGATGCTGTCATTTTCTGAAAAGTAACTGCCTTGGGTAAGGGCTGCAGTACTTCTACTTTCTCATGCTCTGGGCTGCATGTGCGAGCCCAGAGGCAGTCCCTGGGGTGCTTCTGCCTGCCCCATCTCCTTGCTAGATGTGGTGGTCATGAAGACGTGAGCTTGTAAAAAGCCCATTGTTAATTGTCTGAGCTTTCGCTTTCCTGCCGATAATGCAGGCGAGTGCTCATATCGCTCCGCAGTCCGTGGGGCCCTCCCCGAAGCTGTCGGAGAGAGACAAAAAAGGAAACCAAAACCTGCACCTGACAGCATGAGCTTTTGCTGGTGAACTGCCATGAATGCTGTCTCTCTCCTGAGGGTACCTTGTTTTGAAAATGACTTCAGGTTGTTATATTTTTAAACAAAGATACCTTTAGCAAATGAACATCATTATTAGTTTTATGAACAACATAAAATATTTTGTTTCTCCATTATTTCCTTCTTCCTCTAGCAGTATGTTTGGCAAGACAGCAGTCACTTTAAACGGCAATATTCAGTTGATCTTAATTATCTATCACTGGTTTTTTTGCACAAATTGGAGGTAAACCCACTGTTATTTAGGAAGTGGCATCTTTCTGGAATGTTTAATCATAAAAGACTCAACAAAACTTCCAGACCTTGATAAGACCCTTAATACTTGGTTTACTTAATTGTGCAGAGACTTACCTGGGTGGGTGTTTCTCTGTTATATCTTATATAGAGAGTTGTTTTCTGGCATTATCCAAATATGTAAAGGCTTCTCTTCTACTTAGTCTTTTAGATAAATGGAATTTATGTATTTGAAAATGTGTCTGTAACAAACAACAAATACCAGTATTTTGTAACTGGTAAATCAGCTTATACAATTTCTTTATACCAAAGACAACTGCTGACATACTGTACCTGGTGAGCTATTTTTGTAAATTGTTGTCATAGTGCTCTGTGTAACCACCTGATATTCTACACGTAGGATGTCTGGAGTGGACAAATTCCAAAAGTTGTGCTGAAAAAACAAGATTTTGATGATGTCCCAAGTCCAAGGCAATTAGGGAATTACAGGTATGCTGCTGGTTTTCCTTTCTTTTTTACTCATTTTCACTTTATACTCTGGTTTGGAGACTAAGAATGGCTTTGTAGTTTTTCCAGTGGCAAAGATCCAGTAAATGGTTAAGCTTTAGACTGGATTATTCATGTATATCTCCCGGCTTGATTCTTTGATAGAAAGAAGGGATTTTTCTAAATTTTTTTTTCTCCTCTACCTTGCATAATTCTAACAGCGTTACTGCAAGAATCCTAGGACTATTTTATATGTTGTTACTAAATGTGAACGAGCACACAGGACTACATTATGAGTTTGCTGTGTAAGACTCGGTCTGTTTCGTTAATGTATCATCAAAAAGAAAGAATGTGTATTTCTTTTGTTTCTGATACTAAATCCTAAAGTACTTATTTATCCAAAGGCTTGTATGGTTTTCCTCTAATAATTGCAAATGTATTCATCTTCATTACATTTTAGAAATGCAGTTTCCTTAGTTGTATTTCCTCATTTTAACATTCCTTGTTAACACCAGCCAACTGTTGCAGCTCCTGCCCACAACTTTTGCAGAGAACTTATTTTACTGTGAGGCAACTAAATGATAGCAGAGCATTCTCCTCATAAGTAGTAGGGTTCAACTGCAGAAACAGACTGGACCTTTCTGATATTTAGGTCTATCAAGAAGGTCTGATTTTTTTTTAATATAAACATTGAAAATGTTGAAGGTATACCTATCATTAATTTAAAACATTTTCAAAATCATGAATTTAAATAATTTTCAAAATAATCATGGGAATATAGAAAATCAGATATTATGGCACTGTTCAGTGTAATGGGGGAAAAAAAGAGCTTAAAGAATATGTTGCTCCTTTAAATTCAGTTTTATTTGTATTTGCAGGGTGAGGGTTTGACAGTAAAATGAACTTAAAGACAGAACGTTAGAACACTTAGATGTCTTAAAGTTATTGCCTCAAAATGTCATGCATGGAGTAGTGAGCTTTCTTATTTTTACCCTAGTTTAAACGAACCCTTTACGTAATTTACAGTACATTATTATGCATATTTTTATAACTTCTTTTTTCTCTTTTGCATAGTCCCATGCATCCTCAGTCATCAGGGAGCCGAGATCCAACAACAACAGACTATATTCCTAATCAGCGACCTCAGTATGATAAATTTGGCTCTCCAAGCAATAATGTGCCTTATGCAGGTTATGCAGAGAGGAGACAGTATCAGGTAGGTATTAATAACATACCTATGCATGTATATTACATCATCTTCTGTCTTGGTACTGAAAACAAATTATCATAATTCAAACTGGTAGTATTTAAGTCACTAAGAAAAAATGTGAGCTAATAAGTAGCCTAAAACCACCTTTTATTATACGGGTGTCTTTTTCAGGAATATTACATGTTTGCTCATTCTATTCTAGCCTGCATAAATTGTGCAGTGTTTTAATCGTTTTCTGAGTCATTCATACTAACGTACAGACTAACAGACAACTAACAGAAACAGGGTTTCACCAAACTGAGGTATGGCTGCCCAAGACAACCCCTTAAGAACAGACACTGCAGTTATAGATAAGACAACTAACAGAAACAGGGTTTCACCAAACTGAGGTATGGCTGCCCAAGACAACCCCTTAAGAACAGACACTGCAGTTAATAGAGATATCCCTGCACCTCTGGCAGATTACTGGAATTCTATGTTTGAACTCACTGTACAGTGAAGGGAATTTATATGACTGATATGAAAAAATAAATGCCTAAAAGCTCTGTGCCTGTTAGGGTTATACTGCTTTTTCATGCCAGCATGTCTTGTGATTGCACTGGAATATTGTGAAAGATCAAGCAATGAGTTTCCAGCCATGCTGAAAACTTGCATAATAAAAGAGTGCTAACTCTCATGGAACAACTGTCATTTTTGAAGTTATAATAATTTTCCAAACTCTATCCTGAGTAACGATACAACTGAATTCTCACTGATGTGTGAAAAATATGACTGTTAATAGTTCTATTAGTACTTCCCTCTTACAAAGCAGCTTTCCTTTGAGACTCTGGGGTTCCTATGCCCCTCCCTCTACCACTTCATAATTCAAACTTATTAAAGCTTCATGGGAAGTTGTTATAGTATGTTTCATGTACAAATTGTATGATGTACAGAGAAAATAAATTATTTATTCCAGAACTTATGAAATCATTTATGTAACTGTATGTAAGTGTTCTAGCAGGCTTCCTCCTGCGACACCCCCTGACAATTGCATGATTTGTAGACTGATGTATGTACTATAAGGCCTTTCTGTGCCTAAAAAATAAGCGTCATCAAAATTGTTAAATGCGTTAGTCAGCTGTCTTTCTTGCACTTATCTTGATAAATCAGTATTTTGTGATTACAGTTAGTTTATGTAAATGTTCCAACTGCAGAAAAATATTTAAAAGGCAGAGCTTTTAGCATAAGTGGGAAAATAATTAAATAAAAAGGAGTTGTGATGTGCTTTGACTGTTTTGCCATTAACTCAATGGAAAAATGATGAAGGAATGAAAATACAGGATTTTCCTTCCAGAGTTTTGATCTATGGATTACTTGCAAAGGATCACTACAGGTCAAAAGAAATGGAAGTGGCCATATGTGGCCATGTTTTGTCTTCTACGATAGCCCTATGATTTTTTTGGCCCTCCTTTTTAGGTCGCAGAAACTTCCTTTGCTTTTAAAAAAAAGCATGTAATAGCAACAAAATGTTCTGCTGTTGCTACTTTCTAGCTGGCTCTGCTGAAATGTTTTTAAATATTTCAAAACCTGTGTGCACAAAGTCTTAATGTGTTCAGTTATTTGCATTAAAATCATCTCCCAAAGCTATTGGTGACTACACATTCAGAAGCAACACATACATTCAGATATTCATAAAAGAAATATACAAATGTAGTTAGATTTGATACAGATTATCTTAATAGCAAGCATACTGGGGAGTGTATGTCATATTACTGATTTAATTCTAATCTCTTTACAGCAATACTAGGCACCAGCGCTTCCTGTATCTGCAATGTCTTGGAATGCTGTGTGAACAATGGACTACCCAAGTGCTGAGAGATCAGTAAGACCTTGTAGGCTGGAACATAGAGGAAATAGCTGTAACTATTAGAAAGTACTAAATGTTATTGCAAAGAAAAGCTATAGAAGATAATTACAAAACAAAACATGATACTAGCATCCAATCTGTTTACTGTGTAATTGATGAGAACTTTCTGTGAATACTTGATTTCACAGTTTAGATAGTTGCTTCTAAGTATTGCTTAAATTGTTGCCCATCTGTCAGGACACAGGGCTCTTTTGTGATTAGCCATGTGTTCTGTGTCAAAATGACAAGGAGTACCTATCACAAAAAGCTGCCCTTCCTCAGAAGAAACTCATGAGAAAGGAACAAGTCTTCTCAAATTTCAGTATGAGAAATGACAAATATGCATGCTAATCATTATTCTTCCTTGGTTCCTTCCCAGGATGGTTTACATCAAAGGGAAAGGGGGGCAAGGGGTTGCATTTTTTTTTATTTCTCAGGAAGGCTTGTCAAAGACAACTTTTGCCAGATAGTTTTTGCTTCTTGGTGTCCATTTGGCTCACCCATTTATTTGTGGTGTTTGCTCCACGCAGTGTCATGATCTCCCTCCACATGCTGGTGAGCAGTGGTTCCGAATCTCATGCTGGTAGTAGGACCATGAATTTCTCTTAACTATAATTATGAAGATTCTTCAGGGCATTGTAGCATATAGAGCATATAATGCCCTGACTGACATTGCTGTTTGTTTTTTTTTCCCTTAAAAAAACAAGATTTAAAGAAAGCAACCAACAAATAACGCACAATTTTGAACTATGTATTAAGAATTTGTGTTCTTGTAACACCAGTTACCTGCAGGATTGGGTAGAAGGGAAGGCTCTGTGCTCAGGCATAGCCCCTTCGTCTCACTGCCACTGGCAGCACTGTACAAACATAACCAAGGCACTTGGCTTCCCACCATCCCAAGTCGCGTTAAATACTGAAATATTGACAAATACAGCAACCTCAGCTTTTGAGCCCATTCCGTTGTCCCTTGCTTCTTTTGCATTTTGTCTTCCTTTGTTGTCTTGTTGATCCTAACAGCTGAAATGGTTTGCCTTGAAAAATGCAGTGGCTTTGTCACTTGTTCTGTAAATAGTGAAAATAAATGAAACTATGGAAAATGTACTACCTTGCCACTAACTAACAAATTAAAGATACTGAAGTCCTGAATGTATTTTCAAAAATAACATATTATTTTAACAGTTAGATTAAGTGATTCTTTTCCTTAGTATTAGGTAGTATGTGAAACTACAAGACAAAACCAGAAGCTTAAGGTTTTTAGAAAGGTGAAAAGATTGGCATTTCTTTTATATAAATGGGAATGCTCTCCATGCCTTACCTGCAGGCTGGTACTTCCCATGCTCTCCACAACTCTGTTACTGACCGGACTGCATTGGCTTTCCTATGCAAGGACATTGGTAGAGAAGCCAGAAACCTCTTCAGACCTCTTCATTTTGCTCCCTGTTCTTTGCAAGTATTTCACAGATAGGTACAGCTTCCTGCTGGGGTTTTTCTTGGCTCTGAACTCAGCTGCCATCCTGGCTGCTATTCTTGTATCTCCAGCCACAAAGGACTCTTTTTTTTTCTTTTTTCTTTTTTCTTTTTTTCCATTACTTCTTCCCCAGTCTAACAAATATCCAAAGTGGTTAAGTTTCCCTGTTTGGTTTTTTTTACACTGCTGCAAGATACCCATGGGCATTTAAGTCTAAATACATGAAGGGTTGATCTTCCAAATATTAAATCATCTCATGCTGGCAGAGGAATTTTTCATGGATAGTAGAAATCGCAGGCACCAAAATTCATTAAAAAGAATCCAAAGATTTTCTGAATGTCTCCTGCTTGCAAACCTGCATTACAATGTCTTCTGAGACTGCAGCCAGCCTAGGACAATGCCTGTACGTATGTGTTAAGAATTTTGTTGTTAAGTAAAGCACAAAGAAGCTAAATGTTCACATTAGTAATCTCTGCACTGCCAACTTGAAGAAGCACCTTGTTCTGGCATCACCAGAGGATGAAGCATGGAAGAATGTCATTGCTTTTACTTGTCTCACCTACTGTTCTTTGAACGGGCATGTTCAGTAAAAGCATCCTACTATCATCCAGTTACATTTCAATTTTGGTCAGAAATAAGAGAAGTGAAAATGATTGTCTCTGCTATCTTCAGAAACATACAAGAATGGTGCTAGCACATCTGTTTAGATCCGAAACTATCAGTTTAAGCTATTTTGACCCCAGAAAGTCAGATCTTAATGTGTCGGTGAATTGCTTTTTTTTTTTTTCCCTGTCACTTCTTAGCCTCCAGTAGTTTCATAATTGTTGTTGTTGACCTCTAGCTCTGTTTACCAACCTGAAAGTGATCGCAGAATTTGAGTGTTCAGTTTGATATTCCACCAATCCTTTGAGAAGGACTAGAAGAAAGAGATAAAGCGATCCTCTCGAATATACATGATGCTGGCAAGAGCTCTCTAGAAGGTACACACTCATGCTTATTAAATGGAAATGAATAAAGTTTCACAGAGAATGAAGCTTTCTTCATGAGGCACTTGCTGTCTCCTGTTTGCTCTCGGGCAGATCAAGGGTTGCAGGACATCAGCCACATGGACAGATGTGCTCCTATATACTTAACCATTCATGGTCCAGGTCCTCAATATTAACATCAAGCAGTTGTATGTGAAAGAAAACTGAAGAAACTGCTTGAAATACTCTAGTGTCACTTCTAACAACAATAATATATTAAGGAATACCTTTTTGAATATGCCATCTGCCAAGCACTGTGCTTTAGTTGTTTGCCTGTTACCTGGAGAGCAGAGAAGGTCTGTAGTTCTTCAAAACGTTTGTGTTCTGGATGGAAGGGTAAGGAGCAATTCTGGTCGCCTGCTACATACCATGGTTATGATGTGCTACTGCAGCCTCAAGTATAAGCAATTTAAACTGATCTACGGAGTGGTGTTTTGGCTTTTGTGTGTTCTTTGTGATTCACTGCTGCACTTTTTGATACTTGGATTCCTATGATCTTGGTTTCTTGGTGTTTTGGTTTGGTTTTTTTTTGTTCTGTGCTTCTTGGTGCTTTGGATTGATTTTCCTTGTAATTGCTGCCTCGCTCTGCAAATTTGCATGTTGGGTCCAATGTTGAACGTTGTGTCACACTGTTGGCAATAGCCTTGTTGTTGCTTGTTGCTATTTTATGCTCATTTTGCTTTTGAGATTTCCCTTGATATTATTCCTGAAGACAGAATCCAGCACAGATGGGATTTTGTTGAAGAAAGGGATAATTAATCTCTCTGTAGTTCTGCTTTTCTGATCTTACCACCTTGTGAGATTCTCTCTCACCATTTCCCCAAGTATTCAGTTTTGCAATTGCCTTTTTCAGGTATTTTTCCCTCTCATTCCTTAATTATGTTGATCAGTTTGAAATTTTTTTCCCATTAGAATGTCTATCTTTTTTCTAGAGCTGGAAGAAGTGATGAGAATGTTCTTCGTGCTGTATTTACTTTTGTGTGTGGCATGTTATGGACAGCTTTACCCCAGTATTCTGTTGTTTACCTCTTAAACGAAAAAAGAGGGGAGGAGGGTGAAATGTAGGAGAGGTCTCCAAGTTCTGTGCTAAGGAGGTGAGAGTCCAGGAGTAAGAATCTTTTAAAAATTCCAGGAGAAAAAAAATACAACCTGTGAATCTGTATCTAACTGCAAATTATAGTTGTGTAGTATGAAATGAGAAGTGCTTGCATGATTTCAGTACCTAAACTTAGGTGTTTGGTGCCATTTTTGATGCTCTGTGACATTCCCCGTGACGTCCCGCTGCTGTTTCAGAGGGCACGTCTTCTGGAGGTCGTTGTACCTGCCATATCCATTTGGGACAGTCTGTTAGACATTTAGGCAAACTAAATCCCACTGCCTGTGAACAGAATTAATTTAAAATGTAACTGCAAAGGCAAAACTTTATAACACAAAGATTCATGAGTTATCTGTATTTCAGCCAGAAAAAGAAACCAGTTGTGTGTGTTTCCGTAGAGGTATTTGAAGCTCCACCGTCACAGTACCATTCACGGTCCCAGCGCACATTTAAGGAGTCAGTTCCTAGGCCGGGGGGGTGTGGGTGCCCAAATGCTCCCAGCGGGTTTAGAAAGATTAAATTACAACTCCCTTAGATAAACCAGAGAACAGACCTCGCGGGCTGCCGTAGCCCACGTTTTTTGTGTAGTTACATTTGTAAGCATATGCCATTTTTAGGTGTTGAACAAATTTCCTGATGTGGTTCCTAACCTCTGTTCATGCCAATTCTTTAGAGGAGGTTTTTTTCCTTTATATTGTTTTATTCTTTGCTAGACCTAGAGAGATGCTGGTATTTGGAGACATCCAAAAACAATGGGGGAAAAAAAATGGTGCAAATACTGATTTATGCCAGCAGTCTTCTGTCAGCGTCGGGCTTTTCTTTTGTTACTGGTGTTCTCGTAATACTGGCAAGAACGTATTTTAAATACCAAAGAAATGCGTGTTTAATGTCACAGTGCTGTACAGTAACGGGAGGGCCGCCGCTGCCCCCTCTCCCTTAGGAACCGCGGGCGGGCAGCAGGACGGTGCCGCTGCCCCGCTACCCCTTTCGGAAACCCCTTCCCTCCCCGCGACCGTTCGCCTTCTCCCCTGAAGCGCCCCTATCGACGTGGAAACGGTTGAAATGCAGCGCCGGCCCCAGACGCGGGGCCCTCGCCGGCCTCGGCCCCCTCCGCGGGGGGTTCCGGGCAGACTGAGGGCACCGGCTTCACGGCGGCGGCTGCGCCTGCTCGGCGCGCGCTGACGTGCGGCGGCCGCCGCCGCGCATATTTGTGTGGTCAACACTTAAGTTCTCCTCTAAAATAGAGAATTTATCCTAAATAATAGCTAAGTCTTGCTTAGTACAATTAAGTACACCACAATATCATACTTTGACAGGTGTTTCAGATATGTGTAATCTGCACATGATATTTTGATTAAACCAAAATAACCAAGCTCAGATACAGAGGTAATACAATAAATAAACTTGTATGTGGTTGAAAAATCGTAACCAGATTTCTAATTATCTTATCTCTTAACATTCCAGTTCGAGAAGAACACAAGCGAATCTCACGAAGACAGTTCGGGATTTGGGGTGATTCTTCCCCCTAATTTTTAACGCAGCAACCCATAGAAACGCAACGACAAACATGCTGCTCAGGCAGACATCTTCAGCAGCAGAGCCCAATTCATACAGTCACGCTCCGGTTAACGCAGAATAGAAAGACCGGCTATGAAAAACTAACGGGGCTCCACGGGAGACGCGCCGGCGCCGGGGGCTCCGCGGGAGGGCTGCGCCGCACTGTCGCGATCCTCCGCGGTCCTCCAGATACGGGCCGTGCCTGGAGGACCGCGGAGGATCGCGACAGCGCGGCGCAGCCCTCCCGCGGAGCCCCCGGCGCCGGCGCGTCTCCCGTGGAGCCCCGTTAGTTTTTCATAGACGGTCTTTTTATTCTGCGTTAACCGGAGCGTGACTGTATGAATTGGGCTCTGCTGCTGAAGATGTCTGCCTGAGCAGCATGTTTGTCGTTGCGTTTCTATGGGTTGCTGCGTTAAAAATTAGGGGGAAGAATCACCCCAAATCCCGAACTGTCTTCGTGAGATTCGCTTGTGTTCTTCTCGAACTGGAATGTTAAGAGATAAGATAATTAGAAATCTGGTTACGATTTTTCAACCACATACAAGTTTATTTATTGTATTACCTCTGTATCTGAGCTTGGTTATTTTGGTTTAATCAAAATATCATGTGCAGATTACACATATCTGAAACACCTGTCAAAGTATGATATTGTGGTGTACTTAATTGTACTAAGCAAGACTTAGCTATTATTTAGGATAAATTCTCTATTTTAGAGGAGAACTTAAGTGTTGACCACACAAATATGCTTTATGTGAAAATATATCACTTGCACATATTAGGAATAATTTTATGTGTAAACTGGGGAGATGCCTAGCATTTGCAGGACCACACTGTTTAGGATGTAACAAAGTGTTTTAAATGCATACTCTTTATTTATGTAGATTTATTAAGTTGTAATTGGCATTTTGTAGAAATATTTTTTTATGTTATAAAAATGTGAAATACGGCAGCAATGCCTGGAAACTAGCATGTTGATGGGAGCGTCATTGTGCCTCTGGGTTCCAGAATGACACCCTTTTTTCCCTGGGAAGTGTAGAAGTGCTGAGGCATTAATTTTTTTCCCTCCTTCTTAAAATACTTTGCTGAAGATCTCTCAATTTAGGGTGTTTTCTGAAAGCTTTCTCAAAGAGAATTAAAATATTAATGCTTGTTTTATGATACTGTTTTTATGGGAAGAGTAAGCTAAGAATAAATCAATGTGTGTATTAAGAGCAGTGCTTATAAGGGCCTGAGCCTTTACCAGGTTTTCAATTTAGTGTTGCTATTATAAGTATGTGTTCTTAAGTAGTCCCAAATTGTCAGCTGTTTTAAAAAATATTTTTTACATTAGTAATTTACAGTAATGTTCCTGGCTGTAGAAAGAGAGGTCATATAACCCTTATTTTACTCTAAAATTAATTTCCTGGTCTCAGTTGAGCCCTGTCTAAGGAAGAGCTTTGGTATAAAGAACTGAAATAGGTTAAAATCAGCCTTCTCCTGAAGCTAGTTAAAAAGAGAGCTATATTTTTCAAAAAAGTGAAACAAATTCAGATACAGACATATTTTTAAAATGTAGCCTTAAGACACTGCTCTGGGAGTCTCAGTTTAGGTTTCATGGAATTCTTCATTTTAGGATCTGATGGTAATGAATTCCTTCCTAGTACAAAATAGCGTGCTATAATTAAAAAATAATAATTAATGACATGTTCTAAAGTGATATTATTTTATTGGCCAATGCTAATAAAGCATTTTCACAGTATTTTCTTATAAATATATAGAGGAGAAGGGGAATTAAGACAGAAAACTTGAGATCTTAGTCAGAGACGAGAGGTATGGGTGAGTTTAGGATTATGACAGTATACATAATTATGGCTTTCTGCTTTATTTCTCTGTCCATTTTTAAAACATATGATTGGACCACTTCTGTGATTGTTTGGGTATGTTACATGGTGTACTACAGAAAGAAGCTGTGAGGATCCACCATTAATCACTGTACTACGTATTTTGCTGCTTTCAATAATAAGATTTGTATGCGTATGTGGTGTATGAAACTAAATCATCTGCACTACTGAAATCTATGAGCAAAAATAACTAGTTGTAGCAGAGTTGTTGTGGGCCTTATCTCTTGTTAATTATTCCAGAATTGACAGTAAGGGTTTTTCCTGCTATCATTGTATTCCTTTAACACCCAAAAGTAGATATAAAAAAAATAAAATCTGTGATTGCACATTTGATGCAACTATGCCCTTTGTCTGCATTGAGGGGTTAGAAGGATATCCATAAGTAATGGCTGGATACCAGCTGCATCAACCGAGGTGCAGCTTCGGCATGTTTATTGCCAGCGTGTCATCATCCATCTCTGGGTTTAGTGGAAGTTTAAGGTATTCGTATACTATGTGCACAGAGGGTGCTGTCCCATAACTTTGGTAATTTTCATAGTCCTGTTAGCTTCCGGGAGAATAATCCTTTTAGTGATAATTTGCTTTCCTTGCAGAAATTATAATTTAAATTAAAATTGTAGTCTGACTTTGTATTGAATTTCCTATGTAGCACAATATCTAATACACGTATATTTGGGCATCTAATTATATAATCTGAAAATAAATTAAATTTCTTATTAAGAAGGAAGAAAAGCCTGCATATTCTTCCTGTACTCTCAGATTTATATAATTTAGGATAATCTTTTGTATCCATTTACATTAAAAAATAAGGATAGAGTGTAAAGGCCGTGGTCAGGAAATTATAGAGTATTCAATTAATTCTGAAATGGCTATATTAAATTAGACATTTATGGTCTAGAGCTATGTCTTACTTTGTAATAGCAAGTATTCATTAGCTACCTTAAGAGTTTCAGATGGCTGTGACAAAAATTTAGGGGTGATAGAGTATTGCATTATGGTTCTGAGGTTACTTTGTAATTCTTACAATGGTGAAAGAATTTGATTTTGGAGCTAAAACTTAAAACTACATTGGAATTTGATTGTATGGTTGGAATTGATTAGTTAAATCTTTGACTACTTTCCTCATTGATAACGTTTGACTTGTATTTTTATACTACTAGTTGTGGAACTAACTTCCTTTGTTATGGCACCATTGAGGAGTATCATTGGGGAATCCTTGTAGCTCTGCAAGAAGAGTGTTATACTGTTGTCCCCAAGTGTAGATTTTAAAGACAATTTGAGAGAAGCAGGTTTGAGCAGGTAATACAGGGAGCAAGTCTTGAAAGGATGATAGTCACACTAGGTGATAGAAGTTGTTTGGCTCTTGATTCTGGCTTAGAGGTATCTCAGAGATTTCAGGCACTTGAGCCATATATTCTTATATATTGCTTATTTTGGCTTATTTTATTATTTGCCTTACTTGACTATGTTAGCTCTTAACTCTGTTGTGGTATATTTCATTGCAGTAGGGTTGTCAAATATACTACTATGCCATATAGTACTTGAAGTTTCTATTGTATTTTGGATTTAGATGCGCAAACTTAAACAAATTTGTACAGTAGAATAAGGATCAACTTTATGTGAGCTCTAGAAGAGCTACTTGGTCTACAACAGTAAAAGTACCATATTTTTGAGACTTACTCTTAAAAGCATTTGTACTTCCCTATTCATCTCTGCACTGCCCGGTTCCAGGTAGCTCTCACTTGAGCTCTTATTCTGTGTTCACTTCCCACAACTCCTAAAACTCTTCATTTTCTCTGTGATACTGTCACTTATGTCCAATTTCTGGATGCGAGAGGGCAGGAAAGTGCAATGTTTTAGTCTTGTGCAACATAGATTTTTAAAAATAAATAAAACTGAGGTCTGGTTACATTTTCTACCAGGCCTTTTGTCAGACTTTTTAAATGATATAGAGGGGTTCATACAAAGCCACTGGAACATTTAGTGCACTACACAGCTTTTTCAAAACTTACTTGTAATTGAACATAATGTCCCATTAAATTTATACATTAAAATTTGTTTTGAAATATCCGGAAATACAAAATTGTGAAAGAATCTGGAAAACTGATGTTGACGATCTCAACTTTCTTCAATGCAGCTCCGCGCATCCATCATCACCAGTCTTGATAATTAGTTAAAGAGAATATACAGACAGGGTTAGAGGAGAGGTGACTTCTGTCTGTGTAGTTGCTGATATATGTTATTATGGTAGGGCATGTTGTTAGTAGTAGCACGTGTGTGCTGTTCATGTGCAACTTGTATTTCTTGCTTCTACAGGCAGGTAGCTACAGTTTGTTTAAGGGAAATTTACCTTGCTTCTTGACAGAGTTTCTGCTTCTAGATAAGAAGTTACCTGTAAGTAGGTTCAGTTGCTTACTCACGTCTTACATTGTTTTGTTACTAGAGCCTGATGCTACTGCTTGTATTGCAGGTGAGATCTTTGCTGCAGTCAGTGAGCTGTTACCCTGTGGATATAGTCTAGTGGAACTGCACAAACGTTTTATTGTTCAGTTTGCATTGGGGAGATTGAAGGTTTAGGCATTTCTTGTGCTTACTGCTCTTAGAAATAAAGCAATGTTGAGTTCTGTATGCCTCTGGGTGCTAAAGATAACTGGAAAGTACTTTCCAGTTAAATTCCACATTATAGATGGAACTGTTCTAGGTGAGGCAGTAACCAAAGATTAACATTAAAAATACTTTTAGGTCCTGACCAAGAAATACTCACATGCTTGATTTTGCTCACATGTGTATTTCTTTTAGCTGCTGTACGTCTACTTATGGATGGAAATATTTTCATGAATTTAGGTCAGAAAAATACTTTAAAAAAAAAAAAAAAGAAGAAAGTGTATTGTATGAAGTACTGCATGCTTTTTCTTGAAGTTTTGGGTAAGTAAGCTAATCAACACAATAACACTATTCAATATAAATTCTGATTTTTCTTTTATTGCAGATATTTGTGAATGACCTTAGCTGAATATGGATCCAGGTGGTGGAAGTCTTGGATTGCAAACACAAGAATCCAAAATGCCTCACACTATGATTATGCAGGATTTTGGTAAACATTTTTATTATTAAAAATAATGAATAAAATCAAGACTGTTTTTCAGGGTTTTGCCGTATGCCTATAAATGATAACAAGACATAGAGCTGACTAATATAATAATGCTATTTGTGTGACCTTTTTGAGAAGATTCAAAATTTGTGATGATATATAATACGTCTTTGTATGCGTTGGTTGCTGATCTTGGAATAGTCACACCAAAATATTGAAGTAGTTCTGAAAAAACAGGAGTTAAATCTGTGGCCCAAAGTGCTCTAGATGGCACAGAAAATGTTATCGGGAGTTTAACGGTTTTGTAGTGCATGTGCTTCTTCTTCAAACCATATTGAGTAGTTGTTACATCTCCAGCATACAGGAGATGTAAATAATGTCTTGTACAGGATGTAAACAACACTCAAGCTTTTGTGGGCTTTCCTTGATTACTGTCTCCAGTTTTTCTTTAGGGTATTTTAGTAACTGTGGCAGGAAATAATGTCTTTCTGAGTGTGACAATGGATAAATTATTACATAGACAAGAATTTACAGATTTAACTAAATCTACATGTTCACATGTGCTTAGAAGTCTTCTGTTGAGAACATCAGTCCTGGGACTGTACTGATGTAAGAAAACTTGCTCTAAATTGATTTTTCTTTTTTAAATGAATGCTCTTTATTTTGGTGGCAAGCGCTAAATAACCTCAGCAATTTTGAAGGTTTAGCGAAAGGACAGCAAGAAATCTCCATGTCAGCCTGACCTCGACACCATGGAAGGTCATGGAGCAGGTCATCTTGAGTGCCATCACAAGTCATGTAATGGGCAACCAGGAGACCAGGCCTAGTCAGCATGGGTTTATGAAAGGCAGGTCCTGCCAGACGAACCCGATTTCCTCCTATGACAAGATGACCTGATTATTTTATGAGGAAAAGGCTATGGAGATTATCTGCTTGGACTTTCAAAAAGCATTCAACACTGTTCCCCATAGAATTCTAGTGGAAAAACTAGCTGCACATGGCCTGGATGAGCATATGATCTGCTGGATCAAGCACTGGCTGTCTGGACGGTCCCAAAGAGTATGGACAAACTCCCAAACTCAATGGAAATAAATCCAGCTGGTGGCCGGTCACAAGTGGTGTTCCCCAGGGCTCAGTGTTGGGACCATTTCTGTTTAACATCTTTATTGATGATCTTGATATGGAGATAGAGTGTATCATCAGCAAGTTCGCAGATGACACCAAGTGAAGCAGAAGTGTTGGTCTGCATGAGGATAGGGAGGCTCTACAGAGAGACTTAGATAGGTTGGGTCGATGGGCCAACATTAATGGTATGAGCTTCAACAAGGCCAAGTGCCAGGTCCTGCACTTGGGCCACAACAACCCCATGCATCGGTACAGGCTTGGGGAAGTGTGGCTGGAGCTGCCTGCAGAAAAGGACTTGGGGGTTCTAGTTGACAAGCGGCTGAATACGAGCCGGCAGTGTGTCCAGGTGGCCAAGAAAGCCAATGGCATCCTGGCTTGTATTAGAAATAGTGTGGCCAGCAGCAGTAGGGAGGTGATTGTCCCCCTGTACTCAGCACTGGTGAGGCCACACCTGGAGGATTGTGTCCAGTTTTGGGCACCTCAATACAAGAGAGATATCGAGGTGCTGGAGGGAGTGCAGAGGAGGGCAACGAAGCTGGTGAAGGGCCTGAGAACAAATCATACAAAGAGCGATTGAAGGAGCTGGGACTGTTTAGTTTGAGGAAGAGGAGACTGAGGGGTGACCTCATCACTCTCTACAACTACTTGAAAGGGCATTCTAGAGGGGTTGGTCCGGGTCTCTTTTCCCAGGTAATTAGCAACAGAACAAGAGGGAATGGCTTCAAGGTACAGTAGGGTAGGTTTAAACTGAACATTAGGAAAGAGGGTTTCACAGAAAGAGTGGTCAGGCATTGGAATAGGCTGCCCAGGGAGGTGGTTGAGTCACCATCCTTAGATGTGTTTAAGAGTTGTTTAGATGTGGTGTTGGGGGATATGGTGTAGGGAGGAACTTTGTAGACTAGGGTAGGTGGTTGGACTTGATCCCAAGGGCCTTTTCCAACCTAGATGATGATATGATTCTATTCCACTCTTTTCTTTATGGTCTCCATTTCTGAATTATGACAGGAGATGATCTTCTCAGATATTGGGAAGGACCATGTCTTTGTTCTAACATGAATTAATATCCCTCAGAGTGTATCAAAATAATTGAATTTGCAGTACAATGCCAAGTTGGGTTTTTTTTTTCACTATAAAAAACATTTTTTTTCATTGTTTTATTCATTAAGATTTAAACTGGTATTTTTGTGTGTGTTAAAATAATTCAGTGTTTTCATTTTTATATATAGAAAAGTAGTCTGCAAATAGGACTCGCCAGTAAAGCCTGTTAATGAAAAACAGGTTTCTGCTTCTAGCCATTCCTCGCAATGTGGCAAGTTGTTGGAAATTGTGCTATAAGTATTGTGTACAACTTACTTATTTTTATCAAAGCCCATGCGATCTAAGGGATGAAAGTCCTTTTATTGTAACAGCAATTAATGTATTGTTACCACGTGTCAAGTATCATGCAAGAATTCTGTGACAGTTCACATTACTACTGTAATCAGGCGTTTCCTAACTGGAATTTAAAAAAAAGATGAAATGGCAAACTAGCCTGTAGTTTTTTAACATATTGGCATTCTAAAACATAAATCTGGGACAAACTCCACATTATGTCTTAAAGAAGTGGCATGTTTATTTTTCTTAATTTAAAGAACACAGGCTGCTTTGGATAGTCCCTTTTGGGTGAAATGCAAAGTCTGGATTGTTGAAAAGTAAAAGATTTGTATGCCTGTGTTTAACTTATCTATACAACTGTTACAGTCCTTAGGTAAAGTAATTGCTAATGCAGTAATTTTAACCTTTTTCTCCTTGTTCATGATTGTTTCATAGTGGCTGGAATGGCTGGCACTGCTCATATCGATGGAGACCATATTGTTGTGTCAGTTCCCGAAGCTGTCCTAGTTTCTGATGTTGTTACGGATGATGGAATAACTCTTGATCATGGCTTAGCAGCTGAAGTTGTCCAAGGACCTGACATCATCACTGAAACTGATGTTGTAACAGAAGGTGTAATAGTTCCCGATTCTGTTTTGGAAGCTGATGTTGCTATTGAAGAAGCTTTAGATACCAGTGATCATGTTTTGACTTCAGATCTAATAACAGAAACCGTTAGAGTTCCTGATCAGGTTTTTGTGGCTGACCTTGTTACGGGTCCTGATGGACATTTGGAGCATGTGGTGCAAGACTCTGTGTCAGGAGCCAACTCGCCTACAATGGTTTCAGAAGAAGTTCTTGTAACGAACTCAGATTCTGAAGCGGTCATTCAAGCAGCTGGTACTGTTCCTGGCTCCACAGTGACTATAAAAACAGAAGACGATGATGATGGCAAGAGTACATCTGAAGACTACTTAATGATATCTTGTAAGTTAAACAAAGGTAGATATAAACAGGAGATTGTCTGAAGTAGAAGTGGTCTGGTGGGGAGAAGTTACTATAGCTGGACTCTTGCTGCATTCTGCACTGGAACTCTCAAATAATAGTCTGTTGCCCAGTTCATTCGTGGTGTTTGGATTTGGGATTTCTTGTTGAAGAATCCATTAGCGCTGATACAGCAGGAAAGAGAATGACATTCATGCTGTTGAGTGAATGAGTGTGTATGTGTTTCTGAAACTAGATATTCCTGAAATTAAGAACTCCTTATCGGAAAGTTAAACATTCCACATATTTTGAGCATAATACTTTTTTTAAAAATACACATGTATATTACCATGTTATGCAGATTCATGTAAAAATAACGTGTTGGGTTTAATGAGTAGAATCCAACAAAGCAATAGGTTTTTAAGATATTTGACTTAAAACATTTTCTCTTACGTGTCCATAAAGTATTATTTGGTTAGCTTTATTAAAAATTATAATAGGCATGTTATTGTATGTTGTGCTGTTCTGGACTGAACTTGACACTAGGGGTTGTGTGCATTAGTTGATCAGCTCTTTAACACTGGACTGTGGCTGCCCACTTCAGTGGGCATCCCCACAGCATTCAGCTCGGAGCAAACTGCCTGGTCCTGTACTGCTCCTTGAGTGACAACTACTGAAGGGACATTAGGTCTATTATGTTTCTTCAGTGGTTAAATTATATCCAAGATACCACTTTTTATTGTTAAACAGATTTTATAAAATGTATGATAGTTCGTTTTAGATATTTGACTTCTCCAAATTAGTTACTGAAATGTGAGTAGGTCAAAACAGATGTTATTTAGTCAGAAGCAATATGTTAAAAAAATGGCAATGCCAAGTGTGTCAAAGTGTCAATCTGTTGACAACAAGCTGCATTTATTAAAAATTTCAAGGCAGAGGACATGACTGATAATTGATTATAATGATTTCAGTGTTTCGTAGCATTTATGTCTCTTACACAAAATATATTTTGGGAATTTATTTTTTGTCCAGTATAGGATGGACAGCAATGATGGTTTTTTAATCTTTCTATCATTACTGTAATGCCGTATGTCACTAATAGAAGTCAAAAAAGGTTTTTTGTTTTTTTCCAAAAAAACCCTCAGTCTAAAAGCAAATTAAACCTACAACAGAAAAATTCCTGTGTGTTTGTAAATAAAGGAACACCATTTTTACAGTCAGTTGTTTCACTGAAAAAATTCCTCCTTTCTGACAGAGTACTTATGATGAGTTGTATTCTGTAACTGCGGTATTTCCAACTGCACCTTTGTAATTGTAAGTAAAGTCATCTTTGGAATTCTTCTAAGATAGATAAGTGTGAAACGTTTATTGTTCTGTCAGGTGCTCTCAAGCCTGCCCATGGCTTTTGCAATGTTTCAAAGCCAGTTTGAGGCCTAGTTTTCAGCAAATTAGATTTGCTGAAATCTATATACATATATGTATATAATTTGCCTCAATAGTCACAGTTGAAAGCTACGTTATTTATCTAGAATTTTGATTTAAGTAATCATTTTAGGTAAATTAAGGCAGTTTCTTGCCTCTGCTAACTTTTGAGGCTGTATTATGCTGGTTATGCCAGCGTGACCCAACAAAGTATCTGCTGTCGATTTCTTTTCTCGGCAAAAATGAATCAGTCTTATGCAGTTGTTCATATTTTGGTTGTGTGTTTTTTTTTTTTTAATGTTTTAAAATTAGCCTAGAATTTGTTATGTTTATGGAGATAATCTGTTGTGTAGAATAGATAAATGCCTCAGTTTATCAAGCAGTTTAAAACTCTTTATATTTGCTTACATTTCTAATTTGTCAGATGTTCGGTAAATATTGTAGAAAGTTAATTTTTATATTTCTTTTGGGGTGTATGTATAGGACTGTTGAACGTTTTTATAATGTAAATCACATCAAAATGATAGTTTTAAAGACTCTCAAAATACTTAGCTGTCTTTTAATGAAATTTAGCATCTAAAAAGGGGACTTTGCATAAGGTGACAGATAATGCCCTTGGGGAATACCACCAGCTGTTCTGTGGAACACATTTTGGGAGCTTCTAAAATACTGTATTTTAGGGTGTGAAGCTGAGCTGAGTGTGGAATTTTATCTTATCTTACTCTTTTATTGGGAGTTACAGGTTAAATATACTGAAAGGTGATTTTTCACTGCTTAAAGATGACGTTCCCATGGAGATATTTTATACACTATTGGTTATTACATTTTTGTGTAAATACTATTTGGCAAATAATGTGTTTATTTAGATAGTAGTGTAAACTAGCTATGTATGATTTTTGTAATTGGAAATTTTCACTAGAGGATTATCGTCACTCTGCTATCTTGGTGCAGGTGAATTCAACTTTTTTGAATCAGCCTTATAAACATAAGACTTGAAAATCTTTTTTTGATATGTTCACAATGAATGCCATGGGACGTGCACAATCCCGTGTTTTAAATCTCCAGAATACCTGTTTAAAAGGAACTTGTTAGAAAGGAAATTAATACAAAATTAATGCATATGGTGTGATGGTGAACCCAATCCGTCTCATCCCGAGATGGGAGAATTATGAGCAGTACATCCCATTTTGCCGTGGAGGAGGGAGCGCACGTGTAGCTTAAAGCCTACCCTTTTTTGTTTTTCAGGTTTGCGATATTCAGACCCACAGCGGATTGCCAGCTCCCCATCCGTGTGTTGGCCCTGCATGCACTATGTTGGTGACCCACCAAAGAAACAACACTGGAGCTGGCCTTTAGGGGTAAGGTACTGTTCCACCACCACCTCCTTTTTAGTATATTACAATACACTGTTACATAATTTGCTAAACATTTGAATATTAATACTCCTATATCGTAACTTATGGGATATAAAATAAGTATATCAGACATTAGAAAAATATGAAAAATTGTAAAGCCACAGGACTTATCTTGCCCTCATGTTACACCTGCGGGCTCCTATGGTGGGTGTGCTATCACCAGCACAGTGCATGCTGAGGCATCACATGAATCGGGAGCTGGCAATCCACGGTGAATCTGGACATCACACACCTGAAAACAGCGAAGTAAGGTAAGTTTGAAATTGGAAGTGTGCTGAGTTTTCCTATAAACCTTGTTTATTAAGGGGGATTCAGCATATATTTATAAAGGTTCTCTGTTGTGTTTTTTCAGTTAATTTTAAGTGACGAGATAATAATATGTAGTGCTTCTGGTGGATGAGTCAGATCTGGAAGACATTTCATATTCCATTGACATAAAGTAAGCATTCCTGTTCCTGAGAACTATCACTGGGAAAAGTCGTCAGATAATTTAGCACTGATAGGTTAAGAGTCTGTGATTGAAGTCACATTACTTAGACAATAGAGTGTTTTCAAGATCTGTTTTTAAAAAAAGTCCTAGTGTTTTGGAACTTGACAAAGATTACGTGTCCTGCTGTGTTGATTGTTTTCCCATTATCTAAATGTATTTAAAAAATAGATTTAAACCATGAAATTTACTTCATATAATACAGCAATTTAAGCAATAGCAATTGCCAATTCACTGTCTTTTGTTGTCGAGGCATTTGAAACAAAAGGCAACATCTTACAAGTGACAGTCTATATCAGTATTGTTTTTTCAGTCCAGTTTATATTTTTCAATTTTTCTTATATTGCACTTGCTTTTTTAGAGAAGTGGTTCTAAAGGCCCTGGATACATGGGCTTCCTGATAATGTTTCCATTACTTCAGCTCAAATTGTAGAGACTGAAGATGTTTGTAACCACTGATTTTAGAAACAATGTTGTAAGTTTGCCTCTCTGAGACAGGGCTCCCTACTTTTTAAAGGATACTGAAGATTTGGAAGCTTTACTTGAAATGATAAAACACAGCACGTGAGCGCTTATATTGTATTCATGTATTTTACTTGATATTTTTGGCTGAAAATATTTATTCTTATAAAAATTGTAAAATGGAAAAATTCCTCATTTTTTTTCTTTGTGTAATCCTTGTTGTGTTGCGGTTAATGTCGTGATAAGGCAACTATCTAAAATGGTGTGGGTTTTTTCTTATGTTATTTCACCAGATCCATACTGGTGTACAGTCCTTGACATGCAGTATTAGTTAAATAGTTGGAAATTTTTGCCATAAAGAAAACTTCTTTTCACATATATGTGATTTCTCCACTGTTCATTAGGAAGTTGCTGTTGTTACATAACCTTCCAGTATGGAAATACTTATTTTCAATGTTAAACTGATAATGCATTAGGTTTATAAATTTTATGAGTTTATAAAAAGTTGGTATTGCTTGAGTTGCGGGTTTGAAAATAACTTTACTACCACATGCCAATTCTAAAAATACAATAACAGCTTACAATTAGTGATTTCTTCCACCCAGCCTTTAAATATTCTTACTGCATTTAGACTGTGTGTCTAGTCATACAGCTATATATATATGTAACTGCTCCTGCCTTGTACTAGGACTCCAGTCCTTTAAAAACTCATATGTGCAGTGGAAGCGTTTATTGTACTAAAATTAAACTTCATTTTGAAGAATGTATGGTATTAGGTGTACTAATAACATGGTGCTGGTGAATGGAAGTGTCAAAGGAATATGCCAAACTCTCTGTGTGGCTTTCTCCTCTGTGATGTTCATGCTCACTGTTCCCATTGTCCCGCAAGGTAACGTGAACGCCGTGCAGTCCCTGTCACATTCTAACGGGTTACGGTGTTGATGTTGCAGGCATCAATTTTCTACTGATCCAAGCTTGGTATTTTTTCAGCAGTGCAATTAATCTCTTATTTACAAAAAGAAGCAGCTGAAACATAGCATTTTTTTTAACGTTTTCTGCTTAATTTTCATCAAAATACATAATATTCAGAGGTTCTAAAATGAAATCAAATGCTTATTTGTACTTACCTACATTATATCTAGTTCTGTCCTCAATAACTCTTCTGATAGAGTCCAAGATTAGTGCAACAGAGATGAGGTTCCTCAGTGTGGGGCTGAGTTGGATAGGTGGTTCTGTGGAATCCTGTCGTGAGTGGGAAGAGCTTAGTTTGGGATTGCTGTAGTGGATTCCTGCCCTGCTGCAGGAAAGGCATCTGCTCTTTTTCTAGCAGGTTCTGAACCACCTCCTGTGACTGCCTGGAGTATTAAGAAAAGCTTTAACTGCAGTTTACCTCAGTACCCCAGGCTGTAGGCTGAAGTAGTTAAAAGCAGCTCTTCAAGAGCAGTCACCGCTGCACTGAGGGCAGGAGACTTAGAGGGGGATTGGGAGCGGCAGCCATCCCGAGGTAAGCCCTCCTTCCCTCAGTGACCAGAGCCCTCCCTGCCTGCATTGGGCAGACTCCATTCTTAGTCGTGAAACACTGCTGTCACTTAATATGAATTTTAATAATTATATTTTTTTACTTAGTATGCACATATTTTAATATTATGTGTGCAATAAATTGCTGTTTCCCTGGAATGTTCTTAATTCAGATTTTGTTTACATTTTGTGGAATTCTTCTCTATTTAGAGGACTTCAGTGGGTGTTAAGCATTGCACAGGTTTGTGTTCACCATCTGCATGGGAGCTAATTTTATCTTCTGAGAGAAGTGTGTTGGCAGTACATATGTCAGAAAGATGCTTAGTTCAGTGGCCTCCATATTGGCAATTTGGGGTATATATATGGATATCTGTGTGAATACCCTTTTTACCAAAATAGTGATACTGCTACACTTTTAATAGTTTGAATGTAATGTTTGTTGTATAAATGAGCATTTTGAATATGTAATCAGTGACTAAGTTGCATACATAAAGAATGAGAAGCCAATTTCACATAGCAATATTTGAATTTATTGTCACTGCATCTTTTAATCACCTGTATATTATACAATAATCTTCATTAATTTATATATTTTAAAGTGAAAAAAGTGGATAAAATCATACTTTCTTTTAGGGTGCAGATCTAGTCAAATTTTTGATGCATACTTCCTTTCATTGGGAATATGCTCAGAGTCATCACTCTTTTATATATAAGAGTTTCAGCCACTAAGTTTTAGTCACCAGTATCTTAGAGTAGTGAAACCTTTGGGGACTCTTAGACTGTGACAGGCAAGCCTGGGTTAATCTTTAACATTTTTGGATAGATGTTTAATTTTACTTATTGATACATTTTTGTTTTCTAAGTGTAATAGTTTCAGACATAACCAATTACCGCATTCTCTTTCATGACAAGCTCTTTCTTGTGTTCTTTGTTCTGTAATTCTTGCTGTGTTTCCTGAGCTGCAATAAAATGGGTACTACTGGAATCTCTCTTAAGTGTATTGAGATGAACAGTTTTGTGAAGGCCACTTATGAATACAAACCTTTACTATGCATGGGGATAATAGGGAAGAACATCATATTAGTGATTACTTTGACCTTTAAAAAATGTGTTTGAACCTCATTATTATTCTCTTATTTTTACAGTGGATGATGTTGGAGAAAAATTGGACCATATAGGAAGCACTCCCTTGAAAATCAGTACTGAGGTGACAAATGATGATGTTGCTAAAGATGACGGTTTTGGTTCAGAAGTTATCAAAGTGTACATATTTAAAGCTGAAGCTGAAGATGATGTTGAAATAGGTACCTTTTAAATTCTATACATTCTTCCAGTAGTTTGAAGTATTTCAAGGTCTTGTTTGCTGTTCTTAATTTCATGTAATCCACTGACTGGAATGTTTTGTAGAATGTGACATTTGTGGAGGCTGCCCGTATGTAGTAAATAGTGGGTGTGTATTAGTCTCAAGTTCTTTTTTGATTAACAGTATTTATTTTCAGGCAACCGAAGCCCAAATGTAGAAGTGGTTGGGTGTCCACAGCTGTTTTTCAGCTGTTGCTTTTCTCTGATGTTGCAAGACTGTGTGTCAGTACAGAAAAGCTTTTAGAGTAGATTCCTGTCATTGAACAGTCTTTGGTGGCATTGATGCAGAGGGAGGGGAAGGTTGCTGGGGCTTTGGGCATTTGGTCATTTCCAAACCAAACCAAGAAACTCAGAATTGCTCTGTGGTTCTCTTTTGCAAAGGGCAGATCCAGGGCTTCCAGGTGCTTTGCAAGTAGAGGTACAGCTAACCCGTGTGCTGTTCTTTGTAACTTGTAAAAGCAGAGCCCCCCTTACAGTTGTTCTCAGAGCTGAAACCTCGAGCTCATTCCACTTCACCCTTTGCATTGAGGTTCTGAAACTCTGCCTTACTGGGATGTGTCTGGCTGGAGCCCCAGAGCCATTCACAGGACAAATCAGCCTGGCTCTGGTCTTCCTGGAGTGGAGAAGGGAGTTCATCTCACATGGGCTGGTAGCATTGGCCTGCCTATGCTGTGAAAATCTCAAACTTTAGACAGAGCCGTGGATTAGATCAGCAAAATCCTCCAATTAGTAACAACCTTGGCACTGTTTTTCGAGTAGCTTGAGCTGCTACTTCAGAAAGTTTTTGTCTCCATGATGCCCTTATTTTTCTTCTCTGAGAAATAAGTCATCTTTTCAGCTCTAGTTAATGGCAGAAAAGGATTGTTCCAGGGATGATCAGACTGCTAGCCTATAGGACAGTTGTCTTTGGTTTTCTCTGTCAGGGCAGGTTCAGAATTAGTTAAGACTGTCTTTTGAGTTGCTCAGTATCTTTTGCAGGATGATAACAGTGTAGACTTTAGAGCCTATTAATTAAGTCCTTCACAAGGTTGCCAAAGTAGCTTTGCATATTTTACTATCCCATTTTGAATAGGCAGTATCTGATTTGGCTGATGGTTAGTGGGTATTTCTGTTAAGGCCCTGGGAATTTTAGTATTTGATCCTTAATTACTTTTGAGTATGAGAGAGAGGTTGTGAAGACCATGTGCTTGCTAAGACTATGGGGAGAAGATCTAGAGAAGCAGCGTGTTAACATCCCTTATCTATTGTGACATCTGTTTCATCTGCCAGACCCTGTTCTTGAAATATGGTTTCTTCCTTTGGGGATAGGTTGTCAGTCTTGAGGGACAGACTGCCAATGCAGCAGCAGCAGGAATGGCTGAGAACTAATTTACAGCAGGGGTGTTCTTGTGAGCTAGTCTCAGTGCTTCTGGTATAGCCATGAGGTAGTCCTGGCAAATTACCCCATTCATTACTGGTGAGTACTTCCCCTTGGAAAGAGCTGCTTGTGTTGATAATGTGCATTTGCTGCTCAGCATTAAGGAATACAGAAACACAGATAACAGTCTTCACAGACAATATCCAAGATTCAAGTTTACCTGTTAGCAGTAGTCTCTTAATCTTTTTGTACATGGGGTGGAAAGCTGTTCTTAAATGTCATCCATTTGCATTGCAGTCTAGTTACTTGGGTAAATGTCCTGGCAAAGCCACTTTTGACAAAAATTATAAAAATGGGTTTGGGTGGCAAGGATGTTTAGCAAAGTGTCCTATTTACAAAACAAACACTTACAGGAAGTGATGGATCAGTGTATTTGTGTGTGAGTCAGCACAGGCAAGACATGGGAACAGCTACAAAACCGTGGATGAAGTGTAAAGAGTAAATTTATTTTTGTTATCTTGCGAACTGGGGGATCTCTGAAACAGTACCTGGGCAGAGGCACACAGGCAGGAACACAAGCAGGAACGCAGGCACCACGGAGCTCGATCCTTGCTTGAGAGTGACCTGCTGTTTTTGCCTATATTCCAGGGATTCGCGCGGGTTTAGTTTACCACTGTGCATTGATCTTTCCCACAGCAGGTTAGGAATCTCAAGCATGTTTGATAGGGTGCCTCTGGGTCTGTCACAGACCTATGTTATCTAAAGACAAGATGAAACGATTAGTATGATATATATGATTTTCTACACCCTAGCTGCAAGTCACTTGAGTGTGTTTACAGTCCTCCTCGCCAATCTTCCATTATTTTTGATTTGGATTCCCCACCTAGCTGAGCATTTTCCATCAGGACCATTCAGAGTAGCAAACAAGGGCTCTTGGTATACCCAATGTTTGCTTGTTCTGCTGTGGTCTGCAGCTTTTTGGTCCCCGAGATGCATGGAAGACTAAGCATCAGTATTTTTCTGCCACTTCTCTCTGACTCAAGCATAGATATCAAGTTCTAGGTTGGAACTTGTTCTTTTGGCTCTGTTCAAGTCAGTGGGCCAAAGCTCGTTAGTCACCTGGAGTGGGACCGCGTGGGCAGTTGTTCTCGTTTCCTTCTTTCCTACTGTTACTCTTCAGAATGTGTTGTTTCCAGAGATTCAGTGCAACACCTTACATCCCTGCTAGCCTGTCTCTCTAGATAATGTTCTTGGTGATGAAATAATTGGTGATAATAGTTGCTCTATCATAGTTTGAGAAGTGTAACCCTGGTGTAAGTTACTAATCAATCCTGTGTAATGAGTCTGGGAAATACACATTAGAATCTTTGTAGGAAAAATTACCTAAGAGTCACTTTCTGCAAGATGAGTAACTAGGATTTTGGGAGAGGAAGAGGGATAAGAGTTAGCTGTTCACATCTCAAGAGGGAATTTAAAAGCTGTGTTCTGGGCAAGATTAGAGTTGCAGTAATTTTTTTGGTGGGCATGGACAAGGGTATGCTTCCAGTCTCACCTGAGTTCACTGCTACGATGTGTGAAAGGCTCTTGATCCTTCTTGGGTAGTGGTTGTTCAGTCCTGAATTTATCAGGAGACACTGAGAGAAATTTTTTCTTATCTACCCCTAAGTATCGCGATTGCATGATTTATGACAGACATGGATGTGAAAACATTTACTTGGAGTTTTACAAAATAGCTTTATTGTAAATAAGAAAAAAATACTTATATCTGAAATTATTTTAACGGTGGCTTTTTTTTGTATTTACTTAATGTGTTTCATTTCTTTTTCTTAAAGGTGGGACAGAAATTGTCACAGAGAGTGACTTTCACAATGGACATTCTGTAGCTGGAGTAATTGAACAAGGAGGTGTTGGTAGAATGCAACGCGAAAAAATGGTTTACATGGCTGTTAAGGACTCTTCTCAGGAAGACGAAGACATTAGTAAGCATAATAAGAAACATTTTTGTTTCTCATGCTGTTTTGTACAACAATCTAAACATCATTCTCGAGGACTTTTTTAATTTTTCTGAACGATTGTTCAGCCTGAAGTAGAAAACTAAGCTCATCTTCCCTAAGAATAAAGAGCAGGCTATAATTATTTTAAAGTGATGTGGATAAATGCACTTTGTGCATACTGTATGCAATCATTTCATTATTTATATTGAATTTAACATGTCCATGGATGAAGTTAATGAGGTTAGTCAAATTTTTCAGTTTTCTGTTCTCCTACTGTGAATTGCCTTGTTTAAACAGCTTTCTGGCAAAGTGGCAAATAAATATCATCAGTTACAAGTTTATAAGTTCGTATGTTTGAATCTATGATGGTATTTATTTTGGATTTATTGATGCATGTTTTCTCTCTTTAAGGAATGTCTGAATAGACAATGATCCCCTAAGGGAAGGGGTGGTTCTAAATGCCAAAGGAGGAAAAGTAATTTATAATGAGTATCAATCAGAGTGCAAAGTAAATGAAGGAAAATTTAGAATGAGCAGAATAAAATTAAAGATTTATTCTTCTCCTCTAATCCAGGCTGTGCTGAAATAGCAGATGAAGTTTATATGGAAGTTATTGTAGGTGAAGAAGAAGCTACATCACTTCCAGAAACGCAGCTCGAAGACTCTGGCGTGAATAAAACTTTTGTCCCTGTTGCTTGGGCTGCTGCTTACGGTAGGAACCTGCATGCTTATTTTCTGAAATTCCCTTTTGTTATTTTTTCCCTAGTCTACCTTCCAGAGTGTCTGTGCAAGTGTGATAATCTCTCACCTTTCCCTAGTAGTTTGGAAACAGCTCCTCCTGGTCTTTTAGCAGTATCAGTTACTGGATTTGATTAAGTGATGTAAAAAGTTATTTTGACATCATTCATGACCTTTTACGCATAAGGTCCTTAAGTTTTTTGCAGTTCAATATGAAGAAAACAATTCCATTTCTTCATTGGTTTTTTTTTTCCAGTGCTGGCCTGTCAAACAGTTACAGATTACTTTAGTAGTTGAGTGTCTTGCATCTAATGAATGGATTGTTGAGTTTTATGAAGTAGAAAGGAAAGCTGTTAGGAGAATTTTTATACTGTTCTTGATTCCAGCTCAGATGTACAGAATGTGTGGGTTTTAATGGTTAAGTTGGCTGTTGAAGATTTTACAAAAACAAGAATAGCTTAAGTATTTTCCATTAGTTAGGAGGAAGGGGAAATGACTTTAAGAAGGGGATAGTAGAAATAAGTGTGTAAACATGTTCCTAATAATTTCAGTTTATATACCTGCTTATTTAAGCCTGTTAGTCCTTTAGATTAGAACCGAAAAAAAAAAAAATTTGTTCTCTGCGGCTGTGCTTCAAATGGTAGAAGTGGATATATCAGGATATATTGCAAATTCTGAAAGTTCTTTTATTTCATATTTCTTTTTTTCTCAAATTTTGGCATGTTAAATTTATATTAAGAAGGTATGAGGTCATCCATGGTTTATGTTAAAACCCAGTTAGAATCCATTGGTGTAATATTTCTAAGTACAGTAGTCAGGCTGATAAAGTCCTTCAGAATCACAGAGCCTTGGCACATAGCAGTGAACACTTTCAATCCAAAATGAGGAATACACTCCTAAGGTATTATTTCTCCACCTCCCAGAGGTTTGTAGTGTCTCACGTAGCTGAGCAGCTGATAAGGTGTAAGTCTTCCTGTCTAGTTCTCCAGAAAGACAAAGTACTTCGATCTCAAGAACAAATTGTGGATTTCTGATAGGCTCATTTCTGGATTGGTATCTGAGGTTATTTATGAGGTTAAAAGTTTGTGGAAACAAGCGTATTAATTATGAGAAGCAGGAAAGCCAGTCAGCATGGTAAGCATGCAAACACAGCTTTAGTGGACATTAACTATTCACAAAGATGTGATTTTATTTCCTGGGGCTCATAATTACAAAATATTGAGCTGATTGTGAACTGTACATCTTAGTTTGGATAGAGATAAGCTGTTAGTTATTAGTTAAGTTAGTTTTCGGTCATTATCAGACTTTAAAAACTATCTTTAAAAAGAATTTTAATTTATAATGTCTGAAATACCATTTTCTGCAGGAGATGAAAGAAGGCTACCCAGAAGATATGAAGATGGTCAAGCGGCAGGTAAGAGCATGTAACTGTGCTTGGTATAGCATTAAAACTAACTTGCTGTCTTTGAAAAATATATTCATTTATGTGTCAGTTCTTCTAGTTAGTGAAGGCAAAAAAGTATCTGTAAAAGTATTTATTGAAGGACTCCACAGTCTTTCTCTACCGTTTTGAAATTAAGACAATTCTAGATGTGTTGTAAGCCTTCAGAGTGGGTGGGGAAGTCGGGGGGATCTGCCAGGTTATTTAATACAGTTTTGTAGTCAGAAAAGAGATAATGCAGTTGTTAAGAAGTAAAACCAAGTTGAATAAAAGGAAACAACCAGCATAACTCATAAGAAATTAGTGTCTTCAGAAGTGTGAGAAATCAAGGAATATACTTGAAAATCAAGCAACGTTTAAACAATTATATTCTTGACTTTTCCTAGCAAAAATAGATAGTGCTTTATATTGGCACTCTTTTTATATATGTTCACTGTAGAGAAATGGGCAGTATTTTTTTTTAAAGAGAGTAGATATGCTGCTGTGCAATTCCAGTCGTCAGTCCCAAAGAAAAAAGTTGTTTAAGGTTTTTTACGGTGTCTAATTTTTGTTTCTAGGAAATAACTTGGATACACGATTAGAAAACAAAAACGGTAATGCAACACAATACCTGCAGATTTGTGATAGCGTTAGCACTAATAGAGTGCTAAAACAAAAAACCAAGAAAAGGAGGAGAGGAGAGGCCAGGCAATGGCAAACAGGTAAACACTGTATGGTTATGCGTATTGTCATGGAGAGGCACTTACTCCTCTACTATTCCTTTTTTTTTTTTAAGCTGGTGCAGAATCAAAACCTAGAAATGATGATTTGCATATTTCCTGTGTCCTTCCCCCCTCCAATTCTGTGCACAGAAAATGTAATAATTTTTGCTATTGTAAGTCAGTACACTTAGGGCTGATGCAATTAATATGAATTTTGCAAGCTGCTAAAGAGTAATCATGAATATATTCACTGCAAATGCAGTATTACTGATTTGTTTGAGCAGTTTCTAAAAGAAAACTATATAAACTATAGGTGCTGTGGATTGGTTGTTTTTAAACTACTGAACCATTCTCTGTCTGCTGCAAGTGTAAGTGCATGAAATCTGAACAGCAGTTGGCTGATTTAAAACTTCTCAATCAGTAAATTTGTTTCCTTCATAACTTGTTTTTGTTTGTTTAAAAACAGCTGTTATAATAGGTCCTGATGGACAGCCCTTAACAGTTTACCCTTGTCATATTTGTGGGAAAAAATTTAAATCCAGAGGATTCTTGAAAAGGCATATGAAGAATCATCCAGATCATATGATTAAGAAGAAATACCAGTGTACAGACTGTGACTTTACAACTAACAAAAAAGTAAGTTTCCACAATCATCTGGAAAGCCATAAACTTATAAATAAAGTTGATAAAACCCATGAGTTTACAGAATATACAAGAAGATACAGAGAAGCAAGCCCGTTGAGTTCTAATAAACTAATTCTGAGGGACAAGGAACCTAAGCTGCACAAGTGCAAATATTGTGACTATGAAACTGCAGAGCAGGGACTGCTCAACAGACACCTGCTTGCAGTTCACAGTAAGAACTTCCCTCACGTGTGTGTGGAGTGTGGGAAAGGATTCCGTCATCCGTCAGAGCTGAAAAAGCACATGAGGACCCACACTGGGGAGAAGCCATACCAGTGTCAGCACTGTGTCTTCAGGTGTGCTGATCAGTCCAACCTGAAAACTCACATCAAAACCAAACACGGGACGGATTTGCCCTTTAAATGTGAGCACTGTCCCCAGGCGTTTGCAGATGAGAAAGAACTGCAGCAGCACACAGAATTATTTCAAGGGCATAAGACTCATCAGTGTCCACATTGTGACCATAAGAGCACCAATTCAAGTGACCTGAAGCGACACATTATTTCAGTTCACACAAAGGATTTTCCTCACAAATGCGAGGTATGTGAAAAAGGCTTCCATCGTCCATCCGAGCTCAAAAAGCATAGTGAAACCCATAAAGGTAAAAAGATACATCAGTGTAGGCACTGTGACTTTAAAACGTCAGATCCTTTTGTACTTAGTGGGCATATCCTCTCAGTTCACACCAAGGACCTGCCTTTTAAATGCAAAAGATGTAAAAGAGGATTTAGGCAGCAAAACGAACTTAAGAAGCACATGAAGACCCACAGTGGAAGAAAAGTTTATCAATGCCAGTATTGTGACTATAGCACGACGGATGCGTCAGGCTTTAAGCGACATGTAATATCAATACACACAAAAGACTATCCACATAGGTGTGAGTATTGCAAAAAGGGATTCCGTAGACCATCTGAGAAAAATCAGCATATAATGAGGCACCACAAAGAGGCCATAATGTAATATATGATCTCAAGAAGGAAGCAATTTAGAAACTGTGATAATGCTAATTGGGGAAAAAAAAAAATCTCATGAACTGTTTCTCCTGGTTTCAAAGCTTGATATTAAATCATAACTTTACATTCTTTGTATTAAAAGTCTTAAAAGTATTAGGGTTGACAGGGGATCTCATAGCCCTATGATTGTTGCTTATCAGAACCTAAAGAGCACTATAGAATGCAGAAGGATGGATGAATGTCTTAAATTTGCAGAAAGATGAATGAATGTCTTCAAATTAATAGTATTACACATTGTTAAGCTATAGAAGACAAAACGAAGATGATTGTGTTACCCATTTTGTCAGTAACAGCATTTGTCTCCAATATGACAATGGTTCAGATATATGGTGGGGTTATTTACATATTGTTTGCAAAGGCAACTGAGTCTAATTTCTTGTGTGGTTTTGAAAGGGGAGTATTAGTTGGTCACTTGATCATAATGTTTTTAAATCGTGCCTGGAAATTAAACTCCAGAACTGGTCAAATTTGGGGAGTTGACCCTTTTTTTTTTTTAATTTTATTTTTTTAAAACATTTCATTGGGAAACTTTTTTGTTTCCTTTATTAGTTTAGGTCCAACAAGTAATTTTTTTAATGGTTTTCAAAGCTGCTAACCTACTTTATTGCAGGATATGATGTTTAAAATATAGCATTATGTTATGATCTCAAAGGTGGTGTTCTGGTGCTAGGGTTAAAGATGTATATGTATATAATTTCCCTTTTTTATCTGAAACTACAGTTGAATGTTGTTCAGTATGGCACATAAGAAATTAACGTTGAATTTGACTTTTTTTTTTAAGGATAAAATGGATGCAGCTCATAGTGTTGTGACTCAACACTGATTTTTTTTTTTTCTCGCTACTTTAAAATCTTCTCTAAAAAGAATATTATAAACAAAGTTGAAAAATGTAAGGGTTTTTTAATTAAATTTCAGAGTACTTAGAAGTTCTTTAGGGCAGTGTTCTTAACAGGTATGACTATTATTGTCCTACCTCCTAATATGAAATTTTCAATATAGACATAAAATTGCACCTTTTAATCAATTCTTTAAAAAAATCTATATCGTACTATAAACATGCATTTTCAATCTGTAAGAAAGTATATATGCAGTATTTAACCAGAAAAATATGCTGCCACTAGAGTTTGGAGGTGGATCTTCAGTTTACAGTGTATACATTTAAAATATGCATCCCTTTAAACAATGCTTTGTGTTAGCATGCTGCAAATCAAATGGCGCTTAATATAACAAGCTGGTCTAGGGCTATTTAATGAAAAACCTGTTCATAAATGTTACGCATATAATGTGTATTTTTTACTTTTTTAGTTGCTTCATGTTTGCACACAGCTGTTCACATGATAAATTGTAACTTCATGCTATATTGTGGCTTTGTGTTTCAGATAATGTTCATATTTTGTTTTTGCACCAGATGAGAATCAGTTCCTTGAGAATAAATTTTTTTTATATTTCTAAACTTCAGAAAGTTGAATTTGGGAAATCTCTTAGAAAAATACGTGTTTTATGTGGCTGTAAAAAATGATGTACACGCTGTAAAATAAGATTGTCACTGTTATGTGGGATTATTATTTCTAAATGTGTTACTCATCGTAACGGGCATACAATAAAACGCATCTCTTGCACTCCAAATTTTTTGGAGTTTGCTTTTCATTTATGGTGTTTAGGAAAGACTCATCCTGTGTAAACTTGCCTAGTGTTTTTAATGACATGATTCACTAATTAATATGTAATAACATTTCAAGTAAGCAGGTTGCTTGAGATATATTTATCAGACTGTTGAGGGGAGAGTATTGGGTTTTTGGCTAACCGTTTAAAGTTACAGGTAAATGTACTTGTACTTATTTTTAAAATAATTATTGAATGTGATACTGACAATCCTTTGAAATTTTTTCCTTTAAGTAAAGAGAACATAAAAACTACTCATATATTTGGGAAAAAGCCAGGTAGGTTTTTTTTTCTTTTTATCTGTGTAATAAGAACAGCTTGCAAAATGAAATGCTAAAAATACTGCTTTCTTAATTTCTCTCTCTCTTAGAGTACTTGAAATATGACATCAGTAATAGATTAAAAAATTAAGAAGAGAGTGTGATTTTAAATGAACTCTTCATCAAGGATTTCCAGTGGCCTTTTAGCCTGTGAACTCATAGGTTTTGTATTAAAAACCAGAAATGATGCAGACGTGAACCCATTAATCTGCTTTTTGTTTATAGTACTTTTTTTTTGTATGAAGGAGGAGGCCGTAGCATTCAAAAAATCTTAAAGATATTAAAGCTTTGTATTGTTGACAATTTTAATGCTTTATTCCTGAATGCTGTATTGAATACATAGACTGAAGGAGTTTCTTCATAGCAGACTGAAGATGATCATTCTGACTGTGACAAAGCACACATCCACGGTGGCACATTTTCCAACCTTACAGATGGATGGAATCATCAGGTACTTGAGTATTTTAGATATTTTCTATAGCTAACTTTTTAAGAAGACTTAATCCCTCATTGCCTAAGAGTCCATCATAGTCCATGGGGTACAGAACACGATGTGGGGACTAGAAATGACAAATTAAATTTCTGGAGAGCCAGCATTTTAGACAGCGGTATGGAATGTGAGCATAATGCTTATAGCATTGCATTCACATCGTGCTTTGATACCTTTTATCATTCATATTGGTATTTACTGGTGCCGGTTTACATTTTACAATGTATGTTTGAGGATAACAGTTGCATTGCTTCCAAGGAGTGCAGTGAAAGGCTTTGACCCTTACATATCTGATAGTTTAAAATTGCTTACACGGGTTAATTCTCTCTGTGATGAACAGTTCTTCAGTGTAAGATTGTTGTTTAGTTCAGAGTTGATGAGTGGTATCTACTGTTCTTAAGAGCATGGTGCACCGTGGGGCATCAGTTTCCTTACCTAGATTTTCTGCTGAATCTAGTTTTTTCTTTCTCTAAAACTGCATACCGTGAAGGGCACAAAAGTGTTTTTTAACGTATCTAATGATAGCAGAAAGTATATGGTGGATGCTGGATAAAAATTTAATTCGTTTACAGCTTCATCATTATACTATGGAACGATGAAGTGCTGTAACTTTGTATTACAGACGGTGAAATTGGTGTTGAGGCTTAACAGTCTGTAAGTGCACCTAATGAGATTTCTCTTTAGGAAAAATAAAAGTCATACCTTTTGGAACATAAAAATCTGAGGAACGTGTTTTTCAAGATGTGAGGGAGGGATTAATGGTTGGAAATACTACAAATGTAGTTGGTTATTATCAGCTACAGTACAAATACAGGAACGTACAGGGCCTGAAGCCAGTACAGGCTAGTACAGTGTTTGGTGTGAGCCTGCTTTTGGTGACAGCTGGGGGGAGAAATGGAGTTGTTAAACTTTCACAGGCAGCCTTGTCCCAGGTGAGGTCTCAAGATGAGTTACACTTCTCTTTATTGGTTTATTGCATTAGCATTTTGAACATTTCTTTCTTTATAGTAATTGTTTGTCTCTTCTCTCAGCAGCATATGGACAATGAAGCCTAGCTAAGAAGAAGGACTGTGGAAACAAGTTCTGTCAACGAGAGGAAAAGCCTTGAGACTTCACCCACACAGTGTTGAGGTTACTGGATTGCTACCCGTATGTTGTTATTTTTCAAACAGTTTAAAATAATAAGTTTGTCCGACTTTTTTGTTGAGCAGTAGTTTTAAAATTCAGTAGGTTATGTTGCCACTGGGAGAGTGTGTGCTTCTGCTTGCCCCTTTGCTGGTTCTGTCCAGTGCCACTTAGATGTTGATGACTTGAGGGTGGACTTTTTTGAAATTCCTGTCAATGCTTCTGGTTCTTCTTCCAGAATTGACATCTTTCTGTACAGCTGTGGGTGTCGAAGCTTCTTCTGTCTGTCTGTCCAAGCTGGACGGTGAACAGGCAAAGGAGGGTGTTGAAGCTGTTAGGAGGGCTCTGGTGGTTTTAAAAAAAAAATTTAAAAAGTAATGCTGTGGTGCCTGGAAAGAGGAGGAAATCAACAAGAAAAGGCCTGTGCAGTGCATTGCAGGTGTGACATCAGGGCTGTGGAGGAAAAGGGTTAGAAATTGGGGTTAGGAAAGGGAAAATAACTTGCCTGCTAAACACAGAGAAACCTGAGAGGAAGTGGTATTACGTGCCATGCTCGTATTTTGTACGTGGTGTTTGAGTAATTCAGGATCTTTTTATATATAAAATAGGTAGAATGTTGGGTTTTTTCCTCTTTTTTTTCCTACAACTGTGTTTCCCCGGGAACTGAAGTGCTGTGTTAAAGCAAGGGGTTGGTTGGTATTCTTGATGTAAGATTTTACTAGGAAGTGGCATTTTAAGTCTTCTGAAATAGAGTAGAATTTCACCTGAGTCCTCAGCAGTTTGAGGCACAGTTCCTAGATTGTTTTCAGTGCATGTTCCCAGTAAATATTCAAGAGAATTTGTGATGGCTGTTCTGTTGTTACCATGGAGGTGTCATGATTTTAAAGACGCACCATGTCAGATTGCAGTAAAATTCTTGTATTTCAGTACTTCCACAGATGCCTGCGCTGTGTAGTCTGTACTTCTGCCCTGCCTGGCCCCCTCCCCTGAGCTGGCAGCAAATCCCCTTCTGTTACCCAAACGGGTGAGGCCTTTAGGATGGCATGAAGTGCTTTACAGCTGATGAGTTCCTCAGTGGTGGTAGGAAGCGGGTGAAGGAGAGACACTACCACTACCCATTAGCTTTGCCAGTCTTTTGACTTCAATGGTAGAAGTTGGTGGTATCGTACTTTATTGCTTGTCCTGAAAGCTCTGAATGAGTTTTCACAACTCCATCATTGTTGTGAAGTTGTGTGATCTCTGTTCTTCTAAAGGTATGCTTGAGTAGATATCATCATTTTTCATGCATATGTGCTTTCCTTAGAGAAGTTTGTGTATGTCTTGTCTTTTGCCACATTTTCAGTAAGGGCTTTGAAGCTGTTTTGTTGAAAACAGTCTTTGCTTGTCAAATTGTTCCAAATCTGTCTCTACAGCAACACTAGTAGGGTGCATCACCTTTCCTAGCACTGGTGATGGGAAGCCACTCCACACCACCAGAAGTAGGAGAGGTGACGTGAGCTACTTCAGCTGGTCTTGACTGTGTCTGGATTTCTCCTCTGCCTGCTCCTGCCGTGCTGTCTGTGCTGTGCACACACATACGTACCTGATGTGCACTTGCTTGAGCAAGCAGTGAGTTTCACAAACACATTGAAGGGTGGCTCTAATATGTCAGGTTTTCTTACTGTGGTTTTTTATTTTAGTGACACACTAAGAAATCCCTAAAATCCAGGAGCGGTTAAAAATGATTCATGGCTTGATCATCATCTGTATTTTATTTTTCTCCAGGTCTCAAATGTCCACAATTAAAGGTAATGAAGTTGAGAGAAAATACAGAACACCACCAGAGTACTCTCAGGGTCAAGGTAAGTCTGTGTGGACTCTAGAGACAGAATGCCAGAGCTCTTAGGAGCTTTTGAACCAGGGCTGTATTTGGCTTTTATTTTACAGCTGAGGCAAGGGAAGTATTCCATATTCCTACTAAGTTGCATGGAAAAGGCAGTAATAGAAACCAGAAGACAATTTTCTCATACTCTTCTGTGTAAGAACAGGAACCTCTGCATGGTATTAAACTTGTTTAGGTAGTGAAAGTTTAATAAAACTATTGATAAAGACATTCATAATAGGGCAGTTAGTATATGAAGTGCTCTCTTTGATTTTTCTAATTTGTTCCTGAAAAAATGTAGGAAACCGAGGTGAAAAATTCTCTGTAAAGTTTGTGATCAGGGTGGTAATTAGGATTGACACAGATCAGTAAATGAGAAAAATGTGTTTCTGTAAACTCCAGCAGAAACGTTTTAGGTAAATTAGTTTCAGTGCAACAGAAAAGAGGCAATACATGAGGCTACAGCAAATAAAATGTACTTTTATAATAAATTTTATAATAAAATACTAAGTTTGCTCCTTAAATAAATATCATTTGAAATCAAAACCAGCCCCAAATGGCCATTATGCTTCATCTCCTAGTTTCACTCAGCTTTTTGACAAGTAGCTGTTGCTTCATGTTACCTGTGAGTACGAGGTGGTGTTAGGACAGCCAGCTCTGTAGCACTCAGAGTGTACAGAAGTCTTAAAACACTTTGCCAAGGCAGCCTTAGAGAAGCTGATCTGGGCTACACAATGCAGTATTGACATCTATCTTTCCTGATTACCAAACTGTTACCCATCCCTTCAAGTATGGTGTTTTTCAAATTTATCATAATGCCAGCTGTATATGCAAAACAGATCATTTGCCTAATCAGGCTTTTGTCATAAATTAGACCCCCACGCCCAGCAGTTCTGACTGTCCTTAAAGGGCGGTTCCTGCTTGTGTTACACTATTGCATGGCCTTATGGCAGAGCTAAAGCAGCAGTGGTGCTACTGGAAGGGTTAGTACATACACTGTGCAGCCTTTGCAATGGCTGAGGCAAGTACACGCTGTTGCCATTAATAACTCATGTTTCTGCTGTTCACAGCTGCTTCAGAACCGTTCGTGTAGCGCTGCCAACCCGTCGAGCCCAGCTGGGACCATGGTAAGTCAGCAAATCTCTGTGTGTCCTTCAGCTGGGGTAACTGCACAGTTGTGCACACATTAAACAAATGTGGTGGTTTTCCTATTTTGTTTCTTTTTATCATTCAGGTCACCAAACACAAATGTCATTAGAAGAGGGTGTATCTCTAATTATTTATTGGGATAGAATACACTTTGACACTATTCTGCATCATTAGTATGTTAACTCCTTGTGTATATGTACCTTATAGTCAGCTGCTCTACAGAAGTGGGGTGATTTTAGAATCTAATAATTACTGATTTCAGAGGGGCAAGGCACTCATTCAAATGAGGATATTTAATTTTTAACCAATTAAAACCTCTTTCCATAGAACTAGGCTAAAGTGAGTGTAGTTCAATGGTCCATACTCACTTGGGCTCATCTTGGACTGGACATACATGAGCAGCTTTTGTGCTGGGTTCTTTGCCAGCCCAACCTGACCCCAGCAGAGGGTCATTCCTTTACTTGTAAAGATTCATTTAGAGGAACAAGTTGTCTAAAAAAAAAGGCAGTATCATCACACCACCTAAACCAGCCCCCTCCAGCCTGTCACACAGACGGGAGATGTTTCCAGTACAGACAGACATGATTCAGAAAGTTCCATTTAGGTTTATTTCATAGCTACACATAGCGTACATTCTTTCACCGTTAAACATTGTCTATGATATATATTACTTGTGAATAGAAATACATGTCTGCAGAAATAAAGCAAAGCAAGAACCCCCTAGTAAAAAGCCAGCACCTTTTGATTGCATAGTTAAAAATGTCCCCTGTGATTCTCTGCACTGTATTGCTTAGACAACTACTTAATTATTAATATCAAATAATTTTGAGAGAATTTCTGTGGTCCTGTGATGAGCAAAAACTGTAAATGGCAGGTCATCTGATAATGAAATTCAGTCTATGAGCTATTTTCATTCTATATAAAAATATACCAAGTTCTTAAAATTTTCAAGCACAGCAAATAAATACCTGTGGCTGGTCTGGGGGCATATAAAGGTTCAGCTGAAAATACATCAGCTCTGAGGTCAATCACACTCTTCAAAATTAGCATGTGCCCAATCATTTCCCTGAACTAGGTAAGTCTGGGATTTGCCAATTCAGTAGCTGGATTTGAGGAATTGTTTTTCTGGAGTAATTCTCCTTTCTGTTTCAGCTTCTCATCCATAGGCAGATGCAAGGTGAGATATTTTCAGTGAGGTATTTTTAATGTTCCCCTTGAAGGGTGTTTCTGGAGTTTGCTTCATCTTCAACAGGCAGTAGCAGATAGAACTGAAACCAGCCAATCGCTGTGTCTCAGACTTAATTTGTGTCACTCTCACTTCTCAGTGTGAGTAGACAGGACAGAAAAATACGGTGAATAGTGCAAAAAGGAAAAGGTTTCAGACTTCGTTTGTCTTTCAGATTGCTTCAGGACTGGCTGAAGAACAGATGTTGGTTGTGACAAGAAAAACTGAAGTCCACGAAAGCATGGCATCCCGAGCTCTCCTGAGCGAAAAGTAAGTGCATGAAAAAGTACAAATAACATCTGTACACAGCTGTTAGTGGCAGATTACAGACACGGGTAACAGGGCTCATTATGGTGAGGATGAGACAGTGTTTGGAGTCATCTTTGTGCTTCCATGTCCTTAATGTGCTCCCCAGCCTTTTTCAGATGCAGCATAGCAGAAAAGAAAGCAATTTTAGTTGTCGTGAACTCCTTTTGGCTGCTCTCACGGATTTCTTTCATTCCTGAAAGAAACAAGTAGCTTGTTAGAAGAAAATACACAAACTTATTTCTGTATATAAAACAAAACTGCCTGGTATATAAAGCATGCCTCATTTAATTTTATATTTATTTTATCTAAGAGCCTGGCTTTTGAAGTGTCTGGAGTGGCCAGTGAGCCTTTCCTCCTTAACTAGCGCTCAGCGTGTCCCTGCTACCGAGGTCAAAGTCGTGCCATTAAGCTGTAAAGGGCTTTTGTTCAGCAGGGGCAGAGGTGAGAACTGCTGTGATTCACTGTCTCCTGTGAACACAAACCCAAGGACAAGAGCATTTTTGTACTTAGGAAAACAACCAAGAACAGGAAGTTATACCTGAATAGTAATAATAGTGTTAAAAAATTTCTACCCTGCAAGTGTTCTCTAATGTAACTAATAATCAATGTTACAAATAACATTTAAGTACTTTTGTTTGAGTATCCCCAGGGACTGAGCGTGACAAATAACCATTGCTTGAAAGACAGTATCATGTACAGGCTACTTACTTCTTTCAGTATAAAACCCCCGCTGCTCACACCCCTGTCACCCCTATTCAGTAATGAACCCAGCTAAAGAGATTGAGCTGACAGTACATAAAAACAGAAAAAGTACTTGTGAAGCTTGGATTAAAGGTGAAATTGGCACCTCTCACACTTAGCGAGTTTATCTTCCAGCAAAGTAATTTTGTTTCAGCTGAAACTTGCACTAGCTGATAGAGAGCTTGGGAAATTTAAAATACAGTTCTTATTTATTTAATGATACTGATCTCTTCAAATGCACAGAAAGCATGACTAACTTTTCAAGTAAGCTAGGAGGGAGGAGGGGGTTGGATTTGTTTTTGTAATTTCTTTATTAATGTTTAATTCCTGGACATTTCACTAGGTTGCAATGCACTTGGATGAGTTTTAGAGATCACCAATGAAATAATGCTGTTTGCCAGTGACCTCTACCTTGTATTTTCTTAATCCCACTCCAGGTAACATACCCTTTTAGAACATGCCAGATGTTCTACCCTTTGTCTGCTTGTGCTGCTCACATCGCTGTCTTTTTCTTGGTCACGTCCCCCACAAAGCTGCTCTCTCAAGACTGGTGTCTTTGTGCTGCTCTGCCTCTCCCTCTGCAGCCAGCCCCATGTGAACTGGCCGTGCTGCTCCTTCTCAGGCCACTACCTTGTATCCAGCCTTGGCAGCAGCACCTTGTGCCCTGTAGCTGCAGGAGCTTCTGCAGTCCTGGTCTGTATTTTGACTTTGAATCACTTCTTAAAAAGTCTCTGCTCTTTTGCGTTTCCTGGGTTAGTCACTGCCCTGTCTCGATTTAAGTTTCAGGGATGTGATGCTTAATAAGTTTTAGGATTAGTTTGGAGTCATTAATACTCGTGAGTCAGGGCTGCTGCCACCCAAAACACCCCTTCACCTGAGAGCACAACAGAAACCGTCCCTGCCCAGCTACCACCCTGGCACTGCAGTGCCCAGAGACAGCCCTGTGCGTGAGGGCAGAGGCAGGTGTTCCAGCAACGCCACTGCCTTTGTTAATTAATTATGTGTCAGAGAAAACAACAAAAGGTTATTTTATTCATACTCCACCCTCCAATTAACTGCTGCCTTGTAATAGACGGTGCAGTTCCTTCACCTTAATCACTCTGCTTTTTGCAGCCAAGTTGAATTAACGCTGTGGCTTTTTCTCTCAGGTGTCAGTTTTGGCTAATACTTTCTCTGAAGTTAAACTGAATACTTAGGAAGTTCAGAGACTGAAAAGACAATGTGTAGGTAAACTTACGTGTTTCCATATCTCGCCAGTCCTCTCAATTACAATAGTTTGTGATTTATTGACAGGGGATGTAACCTTGTAGTCATCAGACAGGAGACCCAGGATAGGATACTGATTTCTGTACCTGCATTGAAGAGAGTTGCAAACCTGTAAGCTGAAATGCACACACCTGCATCCAGATCAATAACTGATCTTCCCATACAGTCCTGCCAGTCATTGATCCCCAAAGGTTTTCACTAGTAACTAAAAAGTTAATCCAGTCACTTAAATGTCACTTTACCACGCTCGCCTCCCCCCAGTTGCTGTTACAGCGCTTAGTAGTGAATCCTCCACGGAGAGAAAGCCAATCTTGACAGTTTATCTATATAAAGTATTAAGTATTAAGACATTTTCAGGAGGCAAGAACGTGGCTAACAAAGACTATATACAATGGAAAACCAAAAGGATGTATTTTTAAGAGAGGTAACTACATTACTTCTTGGTGATGATCGCTGTTACACCAGGGGACTGGCTGCCTGATAACTTCTCATGCTTCAGTCTGAAGAGGTCCTGAGAAACCAAGAGTAAACATTCAAATCAAATAATGTTTTCTGAAGTATTAGTTCACTAAAGTCACAACAAAATATTTGCAGAAATTCCTCTCAAAGAGCAGTCAAAAAAAAGTCTGTCCTTCCAAAAGACTGGCAGAGGAACAGCATTCAGTTAAAAAACATCCTAATGCTGATTCCTGCACCAGGAGAGTACAAGGGACTTCCTAGGAAGTTTCCACCTACACAGTAAGTGCAGGCTTAAATATAAAAATTCTTAGAAATAAGTTGTATTATTTTACCTCTTGCTGTTGTTTAATAAAAGCCTCTTTCTCCTCCAGCATTGACGTCAGTTCATGCAACCTCATTTGCAGGTCGCTGTTACTTCCTTCTCTCCTTGATATATCCTGCTGGAATTGGCACAGCTGGTTCTGTGAAACACGGGTTAAGGAAGAGTTAGGTGTTTGGGGCCCCTTCCAGGTGACCTCTCAGTATCTGTCTAGGACTCCACATGCATTTCTTTCATCAAATTCACGACCAGGAAGACCCAATGATTTTCAAATAAGAATGTTGAACTGCACAGTAAATTGCAAAAGTGCTAATTGGACCGAATTCTACCCACTGTCGATCTAATAGTTTTATAATGCAGTAAAGCTAATACAAAAGTGAGCAAGTTGAATTCACTTCCAGGCTGGTAAAATAGTACTAGAGTGATTTAAATGAGAGATGTTTCCTACAGACATTTCTGACTGGGATTTATTTTTGTTTTCTGTTGGGTGTCTTTTGGCTAATTTCTTACTTTATCAAGACACACAAAACATCCCTTTAGGGCAGACTGCAATCTAATTAATCCCTAATTTCTACATCTAAGGAATTGTACTTTTTTTTTAAAATCACAGTTTTGTGTTATACCCTAAGTGTTTCTGAGCCATCATAGTGTCTATAAAGTAAATGCAGAACCAAAAGATAACCTAAAAAGAACGCAGAGTAGATCTCTCCTGTTCCTTGATTAAAACGGAGGCCGTTTACCTGCAGAGGTACAAGGTGAGGGATGAGCTGTCCCAAGTCCATCCACTTACCCTCAGACTGCGGATCTCACGGTCCTTATCCTCTCTCAAGTTATTGATCATCTCTACGTAACGGCTGGAGAGCTCATCCGTGGTGGCCTGTAGTGTTGGATTAGAGCAGGTCTACAAAAAAATGAAATAATTTTATTTTAAAAAGAGAGTTTTCATCATTAATTTTCATACATTAATGCATCTGTATGAAGGGAGGCCGTTACCTGTAGCTTGAGGCTCTGGATCTCCTGCTCCAGGGCGCGTTTGCAGAACTCCAGCTCCTTCAGCTGACAATCCTTCCCTCCCTCGCTGAGCCGCAGGGAGAGGAGCTGCTCCTCCAGAGAGCGGCATTTTGCAGTGCTCTCCCTGAGTCCCTGCTGGAAAGCACACAAGTGGAGTCAACACCCGGTGTTCCTCAGGGATGTACCAGGGTCAGACACACACAAAGATACACGGGGCAGCAGTTGCTCAGAGCACTCCAGACCAGCACACCTACCGTCTCGTTTTTGGCTGACTGTAATTACTCTGAAGATAGGGTTTTAGATTTACCTGCTGCTGACGGTTGTTCTCTCTCAGAGAAGTCAACATTGTTTCATATTCTTTTACTTGAGAATCTTTAAATGCCAAATCCTTCTTAAGACAGATGTTCTCAGTTTCTAATTTCTGTAAGACAAGAGTGTTTACAGTCAATAGTTGCAGTTTTTCAGTAAACTTTTCCCACATTCAAAGTGCAACATACTGAGTAACTATTAAGGGATGTTTTAGAACTGAGCAAATACTCCATTTTCTTGAAACTATGTGTTTTTAACTACATAGCACACACTTGCCCATGAATGTAGTATCTGTGGTTTTGTGTTGTAAGCACTGGGATCTGGGCACTGCTCTTTCAGTCTGTCCCACAAAGAATTATTTGCAGTTATTGAAACCAAGCAAAAAGCCAAGACCACTTCACTGCACAAACTCCTTGTTCTATGTTAATGACGGTTAAAACTCCCTCTTCCCTCCCTAAACTTTGTGTTTCACATGAGGATGCTGTGAAGTTTCCAGCAGCCCCCAGCACTTGGGCTGATGTGGAAATGTTTCTGCTTTCCTGACAGCAGTTATTTACTGTCCCTCTCAGCCACCAGCCGAGAGCAGCCCCCAGCGCTGCCTCTGCCCTG